ATCTGTTGTGATTCGTAAAGAACTAGGAACTCTGCCACGGTGCTCTTATGAGCATGAATTAGACTTTCCCCATAACTACAGAAAACACTGCTGAGAATGAAAATTTGTTCCTGACCTCAAACAGCTGATTGTTATGACCGCCACCCACAACTCTCCCGGCAGTCCGAGCCCTGATGCTTCCGGCCTCCTGGTGCGCTCCAGCCGGCATCTGATGAGCGCATCTGGCAACCATTACTGTTAATCAGTTTATTAGAGACAAAAGGCGGTGTGCCCGACTGATCCTTCTGTCAGAGTCAGCTCATTTAAATGCATGAAGCATTTTATGTTCATGTTGACAGTTTGTTTGAAAATGCTTTAACCTAAGCAGTTTTTTTTTCAATTCCAGTTGAGAAAGTGCTTCCTTGCTGCAGCCTGAACTATTCAAACTTCCCTGATGACGTCATCCACCTGCACCCCATTGTGCAGCTTTGTGTTTGCAGGCTCATGCCCCCTTTATGTATTTTCTGAAATCAGAGAAGAAAAAACTTTGATTGCAGAAGTATTGTCAGATAAATTAGTTACTTGCATTTAAAGTTCTCATCATTTCAAAATGACCGTTCCAACACCTGGTCCCTCAAAAGGATAAAAACAGTGCTTTTTCTCTTGTCCACATTTTTGGAATAATCTTCAGGCTTCAGACTCTTCCCTCCAACTGCATGATTAAAGAATTGCTGAAGGGCACTGAGCTTCAGAATGGTAGTTGGTACAATTTGCTGCTATAGTCAATCTGCAAACAAGCTAGGTTTTGAACCATCGACTTATACGACATATACATATTTTGAACGCACACACGGTCACTGAACACTCACCCCTACCCTCGGGTATCTTTCCTGACACACTTCTGCAGAGGACTGCCAGAGGAAACAAGATAGCGCTAAACATTAGTCACCGTTTTCTAGGTCCAAACGGCTTTTGTTTTCTGTGACTTCAGATGGTGTTTTTCTTTCTGGGAATTTAATAATTTGCCCTTAAGTTGAAGTGGTACTAGCTGTTTCTTAGTTTCTGATGTTGTTGACCAGAGAACCTCTCACACCAGTGGTGTTCTGCTGCTAAATACACAAATGAGCAATGAGTGGAAGACCTTGGGAAGTGTGGTGGTTTGGCTAGACTGACAACCAAATGGTTCAATAGTTGCTGGTTCGAAACGTGTTATTGGCGATTGTTAGACAAATGCGAGAGAACCACTTCAATACTTTTTTAAAATCTCCAATATTTATAACTATACTATTAGTTAAGAGGCATGAAGAAAAAAATGTATTGAGATAATTAGCTTTCTGAATTTGCTATTGCAGCTTTACCTCAACGGGAAGAAGCAGGCATTAAGAAAATGTCAAACGTCACGAGCACTCAGCTGACACAAACAGTTAAGATACTTGGAACAATGATTATATAAAATGGTTTTTATTTTTGCCACAGCGACAGTAATCAAGGGGACATCTTGGTGTAGAAAACAATAATAAACAAGGACATTTAAAAGTTGTTTCTATGGTTTTGTTTTCATATCTCCTTATGTCTAAACTTCAAAATACAGATTCCAGATCTGCAACACGGATGTAGATGAGATCATCCAGAAACCACATGTATCTTTTTTTTTTATCAAATCTCTTGAACTAATTATGAGTCACATTATAAAAAGTTTAACATGATATCAAAAACAAACAAACCACGAAAACATAACTCTTAAATAGAAAAAGAATATACGATTAATGTCAGTAAGAAGAATCTGGACAAGGATCAGGAGAATGTATTTAGCAGACAAACAACTTCACATATGGTTGCTTTTATTTAATATCACAGTCCGTTCATAGTTAAAGTCTGCAATAAGTTAATTCAAATGGCTTCATTTACTGTATTCTGTATTATATATATATATATATTTTGTACAGATTTGAGCTGAAAAACAAGTTTTTAATGAAAAACCAACAGAATAGATGGTAGAACAATACAAATGTTCTTTGCTTATTATTCATATATATATATATATATATATATATATATATATATATGAATAATAAGCAAAGAACATTTGTATTGTTCTACCATCTATTCTGTTGTTTTTTTTATTAAAAACTTTTTTTTCCAGCTAAAATCTGTACAAAAGTATACATGAGAGAGAAAAAACTAAAGCACCAAACAAAACTAAAATGTTCTGTGATTTAATTAAAAGTAATAAAACTTGCTTTATGTATTTATTACCAACATACACAGGCTGCAGTCAAAGATAAAAACTGTAAACCAGAACTATCTAAATGTTTGAAATGGTAAATTTACTTTGTATTTTTTAATGTGGTTTTTTTATCATTAGTGCTTAATGTGCACTTGTAGAAAATTCTGGGTGAATTTACATGAGCTCATAATATGATTGAAGTCTGATACTGTGCTAAACTCAGGCTTAGCAGGAGGAACTATTGAGATGAGGTCTGAGGTCTTATGTTCCTACAGATCTCAGGTGGTAGGAAAGTACCTGTTGTACGACAGGTAGGCAAACAAGAAGCTATTGGAGAAGTGTTATGATCCTTTGATGAGGTGAATGTTTGAAAACACCCTAGTTTAAGCTTCACTTGGCTCTCTTCAGTCAAGATGTCTGTAGCCCACAACTCAGCCTTCAACACCATCATCTCTGAAATACTGAGTTTATGTCCTCCATTCCTCACCTGTTCCTGGGTTAAAAACCTTCTAATTCTCCACTGTCAGGCCTTCCTCAGGGCTGTGCATTGAGCCTCCTACTCTTTTCTCTTTACACACAGCTGCACACTTCCTCGTCACCCCAAAAGCATCATTTATGAAGCTGACAACCTGATGCTAAACCCCATAAAAACTAAAGAAATCATAAAGAGTATAGACGAATAACAAACCTCCATCAATGGACATCAACGTAACTGTGCACCTGCTTTAGGGCCAGTAAGGTCCGTTTCTGTTCCCAAGTGATAAAGGGGGCACGTGTGCAATGGTTATTCTAAAAGTTAAAAAAGGAGACAGAATGTTGGAGAGGAAAAACTATTTTTTTAACAAGTCTAATAGTGTGCCAACTCAGGTGTCACATTGGTTAACATGCCATAATTGGGGGAGCCAGAACATTATGAGAAGCGGGGAACTGGAACAAGTTATTAAGATGTTCTGGTAGAAGCTGCTTTTGTTCTGAGTCCAGGGCTGCCATCAGAGCTACACCACTGATCTAAAAGGTCCAAACTCAACAGCTGAGTGTTGAGAAACAGAACCTTTAAGGGAACCACCCCAGGGACAAGCCTTTGAGCCTTCCATCTTCTGTTATTTCACAACTGGGATGACCTCGTCTCCCCCTTTATTGATGGGGACTCATAAAATATGTCCACACCTTCAAATGGCCCAAAAACACCCTCATCAAGAAGCACCAGCTGAAGAACAAGCTGGACAAGATACTCTTGACTTTGGGCTTTGCTCTCAGAGCTGCTGTTTTAAACCTAAATGTTGTCTCTGCTATGAAAATACATTACTGATTCTTTGTGATGACATCATTGAATTAAGTTATTAAAGGTGTACCAACATCAAGATTTCACTTTTCAAAAGGTTGCTGTTTTGCATTTGCCCACTCTGTGTTTTATTACCTCTTATCAGTCATGTGACCGAAGCTTAAAAGCTCATAAAAGTCCTCTTAAAAGTTTCCTGCAGGAAAGCAAATGTAAACAAAGGAGGGTTAAAAGGAGGGCAGGAGTGGAAGTCAAGACAATAAGCTGAAATAAGATTTCACAGCGAGATTTATGCTCAAGAGATTAAAGGAAGCACACCAACTGTTCATTGAGTCAGATTCACCAAACAGACGTTTGCTTTATTACGAGCTGTTCCACTAAAGGTGCTGTTGTGCAGATCGGTGATCTGTTTACTTTTACAACCTCGAACCAACATATTAGCCTGTTTAGAAGCTACGGCTCAGGACGACGGTGATGGGAGAGCCCATGTGTGGCAGAAGCTGTGGAGGGAGGACGCTGAGAGGGAGCCAACGTATTAACAACACACAGCTTCTCTTTCTACTTCAGTTGTTCCAAAGGGAATCCAAAATATCCCACTTCCTAGTATCCTACCTCAGCTTCAACTCCTGTGTCACATCTTTGGCTAATTTTTACACACACAAATGGTAGAAACTAACTAACTCAACGAATACCACGTGGGACTGAAAGCAAGGATACCAACCATAGGGAAGTGTGTCTTTGTGTCGTTCTAAAAGCGCTAGTCTCGCACGGTTCTTCAGACATGGTTCAGTGGCTAAAGACAAGAAGAGGTCTGAGACAAGAACAAGAACAAAGATCTTCAGATCTGGATTGATTTGAGTCTAAAAAAAACTGAAATGACAACATGAAGGTATCTATGAAGGGTATTACATTCCTGCTCACTGTTGAAAAAGCAGAACCGACACTGATCTCCTGAGCTGAAGCCATAATTGATAACAGCAGGATTGAGATTCTTTCAGCACAGGGCTTCAATCATCCTGGGACAGTTTAACCCTCTCAGGCTCAAAATAAGTTTTGATAAAAGCACGGACAACTAAGTCCTTCAGGGGTACTTCCGAGTTAAAAAATGCTCATGAAATACGTATGTGGAGTAACCAAGTAGGTAGGTTTTAACGTTGCAAATCTGCAACGCCTGCCTCCAGAGGGTTATAGGGCAACTCAATCAGAGCAGATAAGAGCCAGAGACACAGAACAGCCTAAATCAGCAAGTGGAGAGATCATTATAAGCATTTAGAAGGAATTAGGTAACGGTTTGTTAGTCGAATCAGACCCAGATGATAGCCTGTTTCTGCGTCTGGGTAAAGTAACGTCCATTGATTAGCCGTGTTTTTAAATCTTAACCAATGATAAAATGAAGCCTGTTTTATATCGGAACACTGAGCTAATGTGGAAGGTAAAACTGAGCTTTAGTTGAACATCCAGCTCTCATCTGCCCCCTGGTGGAGAAGCATCTGTACTTCTATTCAGAAAAAAGGCTTTTAGAAGTTTTAAAGCAGAAACAAGCAGGTTTATTAGTGACCCAGACATTTAAAAATATGATGCAATCACTTTAAAAAGACCCTAAACATTAACTAGTGATACTAGTTAACTTCCTGGAGTGTTTGGTTAATGATTGTTGAGACATGTAACATCCCTGGTGGAGTCTGTCGATGCCTCTGGACCATCCAGGCCAGCCTGCAAGGACTGGCTCTCATCGCTACTCTGACTTATCATAAAAACTGTCTTCAGTGTCCCGTCTGATCCTGGTTTTGTGTGTGGACCTGTGATTTCCACTTCTTCTGGAAGATTTGCCTCAATTGATTCTCAGCAGGGTTCCAGACACTCTGCAGGTGGCTGTTGCTCAGTTTCTGCTCTGGGTTGTGTTTGTGTTGACTCTCGGTGTGTTGGATGAGCTGCCTGCTTTGTGGCTCCATCGTGTCGCTCAGGCGTCGAAGAACCACAGACTTGTGATAGGTTGCAGCTAGTTGAACAGATCGTAAGAGGAAAAAGAAAAGTGAACATTTGAAAATACTATAATGTCTAGATGCTGTAAGGAGGCCCCTTACGGCGTATGCAGGTGATTCTGGGTATCTCCCAGTGGCCGTTGGGCTGGCAGTGTATGGTGGGGGTGTGCTTCTGTATGAAGCCCCATTTACAGTGATAGCGCACCAGGCTGCCGATCTCATAGCGAGGCTTCTTGGCTCCAAACACATCAGCGTGTTTCACCACCGGGGGTTGGTTACAGGAAACTGATGGGAGGAAACACAACGTCAGACGTCTAACTCTGACAGGACCTTGTTCTGATGCATCCGTGTCAAAATGTCTTCTTTTGAGGACATGCAGACATATCATTAGGCTTATTTTCTGCTTTCATGTTTGCAGCTGGTTTTTTGCTCTAATTAATTCTAAGGTGCTTTCTCTCAAACACCAGAGGGTGCTACAGGATGGAGTTAAGACCTACAGAGCTGATACAGTATCAGGCCAACAGCTACTTGTCTTTACATAACAGGTAGAGACATGCCTGTTCCCTTTTTGCAGGTGAAGGTCAGGTGATAGTTGCAGGGGACATCGTTCCACTGTCCTCCTTCATGCCAGATCATCACCACACAGTCCTCTCCAGACTGGAAGAAGCTGTCCGGCTGATTTGGCCTCCAGTGGTCATATTGCTGTGGAAACACATACTTCTGCTTTATTGTGAAATCACCACCAGCTTCATGAGTTCGTTATGTCTACGTTGGATTATTTCTCGTCAGGATGTGCAACAAATCCTGTGAAAGCAGTGGATACAGATTCAAAGATTATTTTTCTAACTTCAAAAGCTCTGAAAGATCAGGCTCAAGCTCATCCTCTTGTTCCAGACGTTCCAAGCAGAGCACCCGACTCTCCGGCTGCAGGTAAACTAGTGGTTCTCAGAGGTTCTAAAAGCAGAACAGGATGTGGATCTTTGAGTCCTCAGGCTCTTCTCTGGTGGAACCAGCTTTTTCATCCATCAGACAGACACCCTGTCTACTTTTAAGACTCGGCTCCAGATTTTCCCTTTTGATAAATCTACTTGCTAAAGTTAGCTTGTGTTATCCTGGCTCATCCCTTTAGTTATGCTGCTCTAGACTACAGACTGCTGGAGGACAGACTGATCACATTGTCTGCTGGCTTTACTCTTCATGTTTGTTTTTCCTGTTTTGGCTGCTAATGATTTCTTTGATTTCTTCCATAGAAATGATAGCATATCTGACCCTTGTGTGTTTGACTCTTTCCTGACCTCTTTGTCTCCAGTTGGTACAGATGGAAGGCCGTCCATTTTGAGCTCGGTTCTGGTTCTGCTGAGGGGTTTTTTCCTGTTAGGAGGGGGGTTTCCTTTCCACTGTTGCTCTCTCTGCTGCACTGCTGAGGATGGTGATTCATTTAGATTAATGCAGTCTGCCAATCTCTTTAGGGACAGTTTGACTGACATGACTCTAATTTTACTAAAACAGAATTTTAAAGGTTGAATTTTATGCAATTTAATAAAAAGATTATATATATATATATATATATATATATATATATATATATATATATATATATATATTTTTTTTTTTTTTTAAATAACACCTACACGGGGTGTTCAGAGTTGTGCAGAATGAAGGTACAGTATTTCATTTAAAAGCCATTTACGGTAATAAAAATGATCAAATATTTATTTTGACAGGCACAACACTGGATTTATGTTTACATCTACCGGCCAATAGGGGGCACTGTTGTGGTAAACAGTTTGCTTGGACACTGTAGAAAATGGCAAACTTGGCAAGTCCAGCAGCTGCCTCTGAACCCAAAACGTGTTTGAACGGTAAATACTGTTATAAAATAAACTTAGTAAAAATTAGTCCTTATCCTGTAGGATTCGTCACTGTGGTGCTGGCGGGTGATTTCAAGTATTGGCAGCGAACCTGGAATCCCGATGGCTGGAAACCTTGTTCTATTGTTGCAACTACAACCTCCACACACTAGATGTCGCTTGGTGTTTGTGTTCCATATTTAACCTTTAATTTACAGCAAATGACTGAGTTAAATCGAGACTTGAATTTAATTAGACTTGTTGCTTTTTGTTAGGTGCTTTGAGAGGAGGCTTGTTGTGAATTAAACAGAACAGACCTGCAGACAAATCCAGACTCTTTCCTGGTTTTTAACAGCACTATTAATAAAATATGCTCAGAACCTCTGACACATACCTGCTTCATTCAGGTACTATAAAGAACAGTTCTCTAGGAGAAACAAATATTGATTTCTAGCTGACACGCATGTCTAATAATTTATATTAAATTAAACATTTCATACTTTTATAAACCAGCACTGCAGACCTTTTTTATCAGTCCCTTTCCTGCATCAGATGTCAGCTTGTCTCTCTGCTCTCATCAGCTGATCCAGATCCCATGCTTCAACAGCTGGGAGTTCTCAGAGGAAACACAACACGTGTGTGATGACTGATTCTACTGCTGTCTCTACATAAAAAAACACCAACATTTGTGCTTGCCTCCATCATCTTTAACTGGAAACAGTGCAGGAGGAAAGAATCAGCCCTGGAGGTGGTACGTTTCAACGTTTGGGGCGGGACTCTGTCTATCATGGGCACTTATCTTCTGATTGTTAACTTTTGGTTGTACAACAGGAGACATGGATGTCATTTTAGGAAGGGGGGGCATGTCCTCCCCACTTTTTCCAAAGTCAAGTTTTGACCCCTGCACTTTTTACCATCAAAAAACAATATTACGCTGTATTAAATAGACACTGGTTGAGCTCTAGGACCAAGCAGAAAACAACCGTTTGTGTTGAAGCCTGTTTCCCATCAGGACATATTGTAAAAATAGACACCCCCCCCCCCCGTCCTCATGTCGGTTGCGTCCCCCCCACTTCTAAAGTGAGAATTACGTCCATGAGACAGACCTTGGTGAAAAAGCAGATATTTTTGAATTTTTTTTTTTTATAAAAGTTCTGGGGGGATAAAGTTTCTGGTCACTTTGGGTGTAACCCACCTATTAGGGTACTTTTAAAGGAATTTGTTATGTTGCATTTTGTTTTGGGGGATTTTTGCATCTTGTTCTGGTGATTTTGTGTTGGTTTGTTGTACCTTTGGACCGCTTCATGTCTCAGCAAGCAAAACAGTCTCCCATTACCTCCCAACTGCTGGGTTTGGTTGACCAACATAGAGAAATGTACACTTTAAACACAGCTGACACGTTTTGTCAGCAGCCAAATCAGTTAAATGTTTCATCCTGTTTGAATATTAAACAACTGAGGGTTGTTATGGTGTGGCTTTTCTGTATAGAACTGGGTCTCTTAACACAAACGAAAAAGATTGATCATCTGTTTATAAGATTGGGTCTGTTAGCCACTGCTGTGATGCTGTTCATAATAGAAAGCAGGAGTTTACCGCCAGTGAAAGATACAGATGGATTAACCTAAACTCATCATGAACGGAGAGCATTCTGCTGCCCCGAGTCTTTGCTCACCATCTGGCTGCCGTCCGTCCACCTAAAGTCCCTCTCGAACACCCTGTCATTCAGACCGATCCACTGGTAGTCGCTGCCCAGACCTGCAGAGAGACACCAGTCAAACTAAAATCTGAGACAGACCGTAATTGGATTAAAAGAGTGAAAAAAAAGTGTTAAAACTCCGTTAGATGATCCAAACAGACGGACTTACGGTTAACAAACATCTGCTCCTCATGGGTCAGGATGCTGACCAGGTGGGCTCCGTGGAGACGACACTCCCTCTCAGCAGCGTCCCACGTCCGACGGTGGGTGAAGTATTTGTAGCAATGAGACTGAAACTTGTGCCAGCCGAATCCACACACAGCTGTGTCTAAAGAGGCAAAAAACCAACGTAAGTTCAATCAAGCTGCAAGCATCAACAGAAAGGTCTTACTCTTGTTGCAAGATCCTCTAGCAAAAACCTTTAACCGAAAAACTAAGAAAGTTATGCAGTAACAAACACACTGGACACCACGTAAAGCATATTTAAAACTGAATCCATTGATTAACAAATGTTTCAAATCCAATATAAAAATACTGTACAATGAAAACACACAGATCAAATGCTGGACTGAGAATAAGATACCAACAAAACAAACAAAACAAACCAGGACATGGGCATCAAAGCACTGGGAACATTTCTGGTCACAGTTTACAAAACTGTCAGAGGGTCATAAACTGTTCTGAATTTAAAACTAGGATCATGTAAAGTTAAGAAATTAAGGTATGATTTTTTTAAATTTCTGAAATAAACAGTGAGCTCAGAGATTTTCATAATCTGTTGGCAGTCAGATTACATGTTTGAATGACTCACATCTACAATCTCATGACATTTCTGCTGAATCTCTGTAAAACAGGCTGAGTTGGAGCTAAACTTGATCAGCTGTGATTTCCATCTTGAATAGAATGGACTCCAAAAGTTAATCAGTTACACATAAAAGTTCATGCAATGATTGTTTTCTGGAAGTTTCTTTAAAATCTGTTCAGCGGCTCCATGAGAGATCATTTCACTAACAAATAAAAGACAGAGGCAAAAACATTGTCACTGCCAGCTTTTGCATTTTGGAATCAGGTTATGAACAGGCAAATTGAGAAGCACTTGATTAAACATTTTTATACAAATGGGGGTCCAATTCTATAGTCACACATGCTTATGTCCCAGTATCTAATCAGAGATGGTGAAAATCCTGCACCAGTACCAGGCCCGACTAAACCGTACCAGACCAGATCAGACTAAACATTACCAGATCGGACCAGACTAGACCAGGCCAGAATCTTCAACAACTTCTAAAAACCATCACAGTGCTTACAGATCATCTCTGCTTTCACAGACAGGGTTACATTTCTACAACACAAAAAAACAAACAATCCATCAAACAAAACCAAGCTGCATGGTTTTCAGCTGAGTGAAGAATACTAGGGCACCCAGAAAAATACCAACCAATGAGGAAACAGGCAAACTCCAAATAAAGATCTGCAGAGACAGAATTCAAACTGGAGATGTTTTAGCTTGAAGCCACATTTTTGTATCCAAACTCCTATAAGATGTGACCTGGCCAATGAGAATCTGAAATGCTGCTTAGGGTTCCAAAATCACATTTTCTGGACTACAGAGGACAACAGTCCAACATTGTTCAAAGCTCTTTCTCTTTCCAGTTCATCCTTCCAGTTTTCATTCAGCCAGATTAAAATACAGCTATTGCAGAACAAGTAACCGATGACAAAGTGTGTTCTACAGAATTCACTTATCAGCACAGAGCCCCTCAGGGGCAGGAGGCTCCAAAATATGGGACTCATGTTGAAGATCAGCCTTTGTTGCATTGGTTAAACACTTGTCATCAACGTGATGCAAGGCAGATGATGATGCCTTTGTTGGCGAGTGTGTTTGTCAAGTTAGCAAAATATCTAGTGACACCAATGGGTTAACTGTCTCCATGTCTAGATGAAGAAATGAATGGGAGTGCTGACGTGATTCTCTGATTAGCTTTTTTAGTCTTATCTTTTGAAGTAAGCCCTATCCACAATATTGCAGAGATATTGAGTTACAAGTTGGTGTTTTAGTATCTGAGATGACCACGACCCAAAGACAGAGCTCGCTGGTGGGGCAGAAGCTATGGTTAGACTGTCTGCGTGGAATTAAGACAGCAGTAGAACCCATCAGCACCACAGACTGTAACGCATTCACCACTACGAAAATCAGTCAATGGGGCAGTCCCACCACCACCGAAGAAGTAAAAGATGTTTCTCCATCTGCTCATGTCAAAGAAAAGCCCAAGTCTAAACCATTTAGCCAAGCCAATGGTAGACCTGCTGAGGCAGAGTAACCTTTTTTGCTAATACTGGTATTTATAGGCTGGTCTAATCTTATTTTGCTTGGCCTTTCTGTTTAGGTTTCCATTTCTCTCTCTCTCTCTCTCTCTCTCTACATCTGTACTTTGTTGCAGATTTGAAGTACTGTGTTAGGTATGAACACAAATGGAAACAGATTGCTTTTAAAGCTTTACCAATACGTTCTGAATTGCCATGGTGATAAATCTCACTGGTCCCTTTAACAGTTTAGAAGGCTGCATGTCTTTAGTGTGGAGCTTTAGGGTTACACTGCAGGCTAAAAATGATGTAACGAGCTCCTGATTCAGTTTTGGACAGAGGATGTGAGAACCTAAATTAGATCTCAGCTTAAGTTGGTGCAGTGAAGTCATTTAGCAGGGCAGTGCAAATGAGTACAGAGCCATTCTGCTGAAACAATAACCTTCAGCAATTATACAGCAGCTTTGATTTGTTTATTCCTCGGCAGACGTTGTTGTTGTGGCCGGAGGGATGCTGAGGAACAAAACCCCCTCATTCAGTCAGATCACTAACACACAGTTGGACTTCATTAACCCATACAAATATCCCATTGTGTGCAGACAGACACTCACATTTAACTTCATATACAATGAATTAAAGTCACATAATCAGCTCTCAGCGAACAATGGCTGTTCTGTATCAGTGGCTTCAGGAAAATGTGATTGCCAAAAAACCCTACAAGAAACGTTCTGTTGTGGCTTTGTGGTATTAGCCTCCACGGGCCTGGATTGTCTTAATGACTCCGCCGTGCCGCCACCTGGAGGGCTAGGTGAGGTCTGGAATCTCTCTGGTCTGGAGGGACATAAGCGCAAGGCTATTCTGATATGTGTCGTGTGGGGTTCAAGGGGTCAGCATAAAACACTGCTGCATCCATCCAGGACATGCAGTGGGAGGCAGCGTTTAGAGTCAATGCCACACAGCTGCAATAACGTTCTGAAAGAATATTAGAGTTTTTTGTCCTCTTATCATTTCCACTGGAAGAAAACAACAAGAGGACATCTGTGTCTCTGCCACTCCATCCTCCAACTCCTGCATGTGTTAGGAAGAAATACTGCAGGGTGAACAGGATGTGTTTTCCATTGAAGTTTCCACATGATGTCACACACACTTGTTATGGACAAGGATGCATTTGGCAGTTTGGGAATCTGAGTCCAGGGAATTCCACAATGAAATCCTTCAATCCATGAATAATTTGATTCTTCAACTCTTGCATTTGTTTAGCATATTCTGAATATTTTGTTCATTTATTTCACGTGATTTTTAGATGGAAAGTTGACTGCTTGTGGATTACCTCCTCCAGGTCAGAGGAAAGGTCATCACTAGTGGAGGAGTTTAGGTAGCTGCAGGGAGGAGCCGCAGAGATGATTAGTGCATTTCACAATTTAATATGTTGCTGAAGGTTCTCAGTCATCCAGGTCATGGTAATTCAAAGCGGTTCAACTGAAATGCAGCTCTGAGTCTTATCCCCAGTTTCAGTCTAGGTCACACCCTCCTGCATCTAATTAATACGACTCCCACACAATAGAGCCTAGCAACTCCCCAGGGTGTAGGGAGGAGGGGTGTTCATAGGTAGTTTCTGCTCATTAAGCAGCAATAGACGACTACAGTTTATAAGCCTGACTCTCAAATTTTTCGTCAGAATTGACAAAGCTCCTCAGATGAGAAGAGAAACGTCTTCAAGAAACCAAAGAAGTCCAGATGCATGCTTTCAAACCCCTTTGGATTCACAGTTTATTGGGATAATTTGGCTATCTGGAAGTAGAGTTATGTTAAAAGTATGTCCTTCTTGCTGTTAACCACTAATGCAGGATGCGGTCATGGGGGCAGCAGCTCTGGGAAGCCCAGACCGTCCTCTCCTCAGCTACCTTCACCTTCATCCTAAGGTATTCCCAAGCCAGTCAAGAGATATAGTCCCTCACTGTTTATTGTTTTGACTATTGGTGTGTTCTTACGGCAGTTCTCCAAGGACGAATAAAAAACACATCTGGTAGATTTTTAAATATGAAAAATGCAAATTGACCTCTGCTGGGAACCTGGATTATGTTGGATTCCCAAATCATGCCAACAGAAAGACTTCTAGGTCTGCATCCAGGTTACACAGCCTATCGCTCTTTCAGGATCACTTTGTTCCACTGAGATGTCCTCTGGTCCAACCACCCCTCTGATCCTATCAACCCTATTACAAAATGTTATGTCAGCCAGGATACCGTTTACTCAAGACTGAAATTCTGAAATTGTTTTCTAGAAAAAAAAATTGTATTTTGTATCACAAATGTACAGAAAGAACACTTAAATACAATTATAATATGATCTTGGAAGTGACATAAATAGCTTTTTACTAGGAATTTGCATGACAAATCATTAGGAGAGGAAATATTTTTTTCAGTTTGTTTTCTTTTGCAGAATGAAACACCAGCCCATAAATCTGTAAATTGAAATAGCTGGTCGGAATCAAACCGCAAATCTCCAATGGTGCTGCCATTAGTTCAGCATCATTATTGCTGCTAAAAGGTCCTATTATTTGAGATTTTATGCTTATTGTTTCATTTGTGTTTAAAGAGAACGTCTCAGTGCTGAAACTGGCCCATTGTCCTGGAAAATGTTAATCCTCGGAGTCCCTGGGGACCGCTGAACCTGGATCAGGGGCTGAGTAATGACAGAAATATTGGACGAGAGGCTGGAACTAATCTGCAGAGGAGTCGACGCCCAGAGCTGGAGCACATCTACAGTTACTTCAGTTTTATATGATACATATCATATTTGTGTGTGCAAACATTTCCACTACAGAACACCAGATCTCAGAAAGCATTCAGAGGAAAGCTGCTGTTTACCGAGACGTGGTTTAAGCTTCTGTCATCATCCAACCCCAACAGGAGAGGATAAAGAAACACGATCAATCAGAATTTAGTCGTGTCTTTTTTGTTGTAAATCAGCTATGAATCAAAATGTCAGCAACAGAAGGCATCCAAACCCGGAGCCAAAAACTAAAGTGTGTGCTGGATAAAAAAAATTTAATTAGCTAATAAATTAAATCCTAAAGCATTCATTTGCTCATCAAATGCTTGAAACACGTGACTTCTGTTGGGTAGAAAAGGAAGAAAAGCGTTAATCTTCAAAGTGGTTTTTACACTTTTACAGGAAAACACACATTGTTATTTATTTTCTATTTAACTCTAGAATCAGTGAGACTGTTGTTGCTTGACTGGCGCCTGCATAACATGTATTCTGTCTATCTGTATCCCTTTCTGGTTTTATCGCCCTACCACCTCCACCTGACCACATCCACCCTATCATGGAGGCTGATGGCTGTTCTCCTGAGTGGAGGTTTGTTCCTGTTTAAAGGATGTTGTCACCCCCCCCCCCCCACCACCACCACCACCACCACCACCACCACCCATCACCTCCCACCCTGTGCACCTTCAGGAGTCAGGAGGAGGCACCGAGTGCAAGTGAAGACTTTGTAAGTCCATGGATCACACTGCATCAAATAGAAGTAGATTTTATTTGGGCTCAATGCAATGTGATTGAAATCGGATGAGTTTTTTGTTTCTCTGTAACACCCATGCTTATTTATAGATTAGGATGAATAAAGAAATATACTGACTTGGACTGCATGTTCAAAAACAAAACAAACGTTTAAGAAGAAAAACTCAAAATATGTAATAAATAAATAAATAAATAAATAAATAAAATCTAAACAAATAAGGAAATCCTTCGGCTGAAAAGTACATTGATGGTGAGAACGTGCAACCGAAGCTTCTGTTCCTGACCTTGTTCACACAGCTTTCCTGAGTAACTGGGCAGGCAGAGGCAGGTGAAGGAGTTGACCCCGTCCTGACAAGTGGCTCCGTTCAGACATGGGTTGGAGTGACACTCGTCGACATCTGCAGACGCACCACATGCCGTTGTTATTACACGTCATCAGTTTTTCATCAGAGGTCAGTATTCAACTCGGTGCCTTTTACCTGTTTCACACTGAGGCCCGGTGTATCCAGGTGCACAAATGCAGATGCTTTGGGATCCTGTCCTGTAGCAGGAGCCTCCGTTCTGACACTCACTGATGGAGCAGGGCAGTAGATCTGCACACACGACAACAACAAGAACATAAACTAGCAGCACTGCAAAGGTCACCTGTTCTCCAGTTCCGCATCAGCTGAGCTCTTGTACCTTTGACGTTCACAGAAGTCATGTCTGTGCTGGTTTCAGGCTCCTCCCTGACCCCGGCCTCTAGAGGGGTCTTCGGGGGAGACTCCGGTAGATACGGCCTGCTTATTCCATCATAGTCCATAACATTCTCATCCGGCAGAGGTGTGGCAGCAGGGTCAGGGGTCAGAGCCCACTTAGGGACAGAGTGGTTGTTGTGGTCAAAGGTATAAAAGGGTGACATGGTGGAGAGCGTGGTCAGACTTGCTCTCTGAGTGGAGCTTGTGCTGGACGCCTCAGTGAGGTGGTCTGAAGAGGTGGTGGACATCCTGGTCCTCTGGTTTGATGCAGCAATGCTGAGGTGTGTGAAGGGTCTGTGTGTACTGGTCTCTGAGGCTGTGTCTTGTGTTCCTGATGTGGTCCCAGCTGCTGAGGCATCAGAGATGCTGTCGTCTGCAGATGGCTCAGCTAGAACAGAAGCCTCCTCTTCTCTAGACGGCTGCTCCACACCTGAGCCTGTCTCCGTCATTCTATCAGCAGATTGTCCCTCTACAGCTTCCTCTGTGACTCTGGTTTCCTGAACAGATGGAGGCTGCTGAGTGTGAGTGGTGGAGTAGATGGGTGGTGGCGTGCTGGTGAATCGGGTCTTCCCTGGTGGGTAAATGTCCTGCCCTGAGGCCTCATCTTCTCCTGAAGCAGACCCCTCAAAGTCCCCCACCTGACCCTGTGTGGTGGTTTCATGTGACGTTGAGTCTGGGATGAAAGTGGAAGACTCTGTTCCTCCCACTTCTGTCTCATCAGTCCTAGGACTCAGCACACTGTCAGAAGTTAAGGTTTGAAGAGCTCCATCTGCAGAACCCTCCTGAGAAGCACCAGCCTCGTCGTCTGTCAGGTGGCCTGCAGACCCCTCTGAGTTCATGTCCTCGTAGGAGAAAAACTCACCAGGAAATAACGGAGGGACACCAACAAGGATGGAGTCTGATGATGTGGTAGATTTCACCGATGAGACCACTGGTGGATGTGTAGTGACAGTTTTGAGTCCATTTGAGTCCGTGAGCACATCCTCACTGGTCTCCTCTGAAGGAATGTGTGGGACACTGTCCTCTGAGGGAATCACACCCAGGTTTGTCTCCTGACTGTCCTCCTCCTGCACTTGGACATGTGTGGCCGTCTCAAACTGATCTCCTCGAACCTCCTCTGGATGTTTTGGCTCCAACGTCACCTGGATGGATGAGAGAACAGAAACCAGTAGACTCAAGACAACCAGTGACCCGTTCTCAAAGATCCCAGAAGGTTCAAGAGAAAGAGATCCCTTAGCTTCACTTCACTTCTGATCCAGTTATCTTCGTCAAATCAAACTGAAAAGTGTGAAACACCAAACTTTTAAAAGCTTGGTGTTTCACACTTTTCTCTCTAGCTTCCCTTTAATCTGAACCTGCTGGGATTACCACAGCCGGGTTGACCGGGAACAGCTCGTCATTCCTAGAGAGCAACCCAAGTTTTTCCTAAACTAGAGCTTATGTTGGCCATTTCTGTTAACTTCATCAACAGAATTATAACAACAGCTTAAAATCACATCTGAAAACTCCCCGGGTGTGTCTAGTTACAGGATTCTAGCTGTTAATCTCTTTCTATACACATTGATTACGATGATGATTACTTCTCTTAAATACTTTAACCAAATGTCCTGCATCACTCCCTTCACCAATGGCGATCTCTGAAAAACTGTATCATAGGAGAGATAATTAGTGTTTAGCTGCAATAATCAGATAACCATCGCGTGGATTCATTTAAGCGCAGCATCACATAAACAAAGCTAATGTCACTTTTTAAAATAGTTAAGTTTATCTGGAATTTTCAAATTGTGTCTGCTGTCAGACCATGGGAGAAATTAAAATACGCTTTAAGGGAAATCAGTCGTTTCCCTTTGAACACTAGTTTTAGAACTTGCTAAGTGATAGAAATAAAAGCTGGAGTCAGCGCCCACCTCGTGGTTTCCGTTGACAAAGCTGATTGCTGTTGGCAGGTTGATGGGAAACGGTTGAACGAGTTCAACCTCTCCGCTGCTCGAGTCAGCTTCACTGTCTACATGTGTGAGGTCGCCGGTTAGGGAGGTCAACGAGTCGGAGACGTTGAGAGGAAGGCCCAGGAGTCCCAGGACAAGGTCCACTGGAGACAAATTAGACGCACAATAAGTTTCATAAACAAAGAAGCAGCTACCAAGCATCAGAAAGATGTGCCTGTGTGTTGATATTCATATATTGTCCTTTCATTTTTCTTATATCTTGCGTTTCTTTCATCGTTTACATGCAGTGACCATAACAGCTTTCTGATTCTAAAGCAGAAAGTACAGAAACTGTTTTCCAAGTGTCTCCATGTCACAATAATTCTAGAAGAACTTAAAATGTTTATAAAAAGCCACAACCTTGCATGTTTGTGTCCTGACAAAGAAAGCTCTTTGTGCCATTTCAACTCCGTAAGGATTCATCTCACTTCACTAAACAGGATCTCAGCGAAAATTCTCATATGATTTCATTCAAGATCAAAAATGGAAGAACTTTGCAATTCTATGAATTTCTTTTCTTTTCTTTTCTTTGTTTTCCTCCAACAATGCCTCTGAGTCATTCTGTGCATGTTTGATTTTTACCTGCGCACTAAAAGTTTATCTTTAATGAATTACCAGTAAACATTAGAGGACATTTTTATTTTTATCCAGTTTTAATTCAAGTAGGAATATTTGGATTTGAACATTGTGCTGCTGCAGCCCAAGTGCAGCAGTGTGTTTCTGACATTGATTAAAAGGAGCCAGCGAACACATTTGGATGCAAAACTGTTTAGGGGCCTGTGTTCGTTAAGATGAAGGTCAGTCGCTGCCAGCGGCTGCTCTGGAACACTGCATGCCTGTGTCTTCTCATTAAGCCTTTATGGTGCATTTGGGAAATTTGTTGTGGGAAGTGTGATACAAACTGAGACGTGAGGATGAACAGAGAAGCAGAGAGCAGCAGTTAACCCTCCTGTGTTTCTGACTTTAAGAGACTTTTCATTAGAAATCTCAATCCTTCATTTTCCCGTCAACAAACCTGCGCCTGCTTTGGGTGATGATGATGCAACACTGAAATAAAAATAAACAACCAAGGGAACACACACGCCGACTCTGAGAACACAGAGGGAGTTGTAATTTATTTCGGTAGTTAATTAAATATATAGTTGCTCTTTCCTGTTGGTCAGAGTCTGAAATGACTAAACGTGTTATTTTATTTTACTTTATTATTTCATAGACCACATCTGTCCTCTTATCCAGCTTGTGTGTGAGGTCAGAAGAAAATCAGAAAAATACATGTATTAATCTGCATAGTATACAAAAATACAGTTTTTTAATTATAAAAGCAGCTTCTGTGATGAAAATACCTGGTTTCCATCAGCACTACTGACAGTTAACTAGACAAGACAAAGCTGAAGCTGAAAGAAGTAAAACTGCCCCCTAGTGGCTGGTTCCAACATGTGGCAAACCTCGCCTCCATGGGACGATTTCCAGATAAAACAATGAAATCCACCTCAGATCATTATTTCTAGATGGTGACTCTTGTTGGTTCACATAGTAAAACTAGTTTAATTTAAGAATTCAATGCTGGTGTTCGAAAAGCTACTTGTGTTTTTTATTTAAAATTTTTTTAACAATTCATAAGTTTTTGAGTCAAAGTTCATGGTTCACATGAACCATGTTCTCAATAATAAAACTGATTCCAAGCTTTATCGCCCAGCTGCTGTTATCAGGACATGAAAATCCCATCCACTGATGAAAAATATTAAAATAGGATATTTGGCAGAATTTCATTTGTGTGGATCCAGCCATCCTTTGCTTTCCCACCTCCTTGTGGGGCCTAACAGAACAATTAGCTGGCCACCTCTGATTTACACTTCTTGTTTTCCATAGTATTTTTACAGAGTCCATCACCAGATGCACTTCCAAACAGTCATAAAGAAGATGTGTCTGATCACCTCCTCTTCTCTGAGCAGAAAAACCTTGAAAAAGTTCTGCTGAATTTCTTTATACTATTAACAAGCTGAATTCTTCTGTCTATCTTTTTATTTCTGTCAAGGACAGACTCAAAAACCCAGATTACTAAACTGGTATGATAACTGTTACCAGTGCTGATGCTTATATGCACATAAAGGTCGTATTAAGGTAAAGTCAAAGCAGCCTAAATAAAGACTAGGGCTGAAAAATTGCAGGTCAAAGGTTGAACCTGAACTCCATGCTGCTAGCAGGTGCATGTCAATCACCAGCTTCCACTTTAACTTTCTCATTGAGTCTGAATGACTTGTTTTTAAGAAAGAACTGCTGAGTTGTGCGTCCTCTTGGTGTTTTATTCCGTGTGCCAGGAAGTGATCATAAAGGGAATCCCAGAGCATTAAACACAGACACAAAAGGCTCTTCGGTGATAAAATGTGACAAGTTGGACGGGAGAATTTAGGAAATGACAAGATACTAAATACTAAAAAAAGTGCTCTGTGACTTCAGAAAACCAACTAAAGGTCAAAGCACACCTGCATGGAATAATGTCCCAAAGAAGCAGCCTTCCTGATTTTTACCTTGATACTGATTTATTGATGCTCTGTGGTGCAGCGCTAAGCAACACTTTTCAACACCATCTCATTATATATGTAATAATATTGTTTGTAGCTGCTATAAAGGAAAATGGAAACTTTTCAGAGCTTCAGTCACTATTTAGTCAGATGCACGGCAGACAGACACGTATGTCTATGCCTTGCTAACAACCAAAGAAAAAAAGTGGACTGAAACAATAGAAAATTATCTCATCACGGGTCAGTCTTGTTATTTTTATTTATTTTTTACCAATTCAACTATTTAAAAATACTAACTAGATACAAGACCATATATCACAAAAGTAAATAAAATTAAAAAAAATCTGAATTATTTCTCCATGTGCAGTTTTCACACAGCATTTCTTTCCTCAGATTTTTGTCTGGATCAAAGTCCTAAGACAAATATGGAGGAAGCACCTCCATCTATTTCTACTTTTAAAAACTAAAGCCATGATATCCTGCTTATAGAAACTAGCATATTTTATGTTTGGAACAAGAGTGAGAGAGTAAAAGTCCAGAAATTCCCTGTGCATGCAGTGTAACGTCACGAAATGGCCTGATTTTGAGATCCCACAGGTCAAATGCACAGCCAGGTCAACTTACCCTGGCTATCAAACACGTATATTTTACCCTAACTGGAGACTCGAAGTCTGCATGTAGCCCCTTTAATCAGAGCCTGCTTCCTCACACCACCTGGACTGCAGAAATAATGAATTATAAACAATAACAATTTTCTCCTCAAAGGTCCATCACGGAGAAATAAACTAACTTATTCCCAGATGAAAGACGAAAATAAGATTTTATAATTAAAAATAATCATTGAATGAACTTTTGTTATTGCTAATTATAAATAATGAAATGTTTCATTGATCTGTGCTCAGTGATTGTTTAGTATATTTACTTGATGAGGTCACCATTTGCACTCACAAGTAAAGTTAAGTTAATGCATCACACATAAGTTAACCTTTTGCCTAGATTCGGAGTCTCCATCACAGAGGGTGTGTCTCTGCGATGCTTGGCAACATCCTCAACATGCCAACTTCTGGCTGGCTATTCAAGATAACATCAGTCCGTTAAAACTAGTTTTACTCTGATTTTTCCCTGAGTTCAACTTCAGACAAAACAGTTCGAACAGCTCAACAGTTCGAGAGTTCGAGAGCAAGCGATAGACCGGCCATCTTTAGCAGAACTCTTTAACTAAGGATTTTGACACGTTGTCAAAACCTTAAACCTTTTTTGTACCTGTGTAGCTGAGGACAAGATAGTTTTCCTGCAGAACAAAGCGGACTCAAAACTCCTTCAGAGTCGGTAAGTTCGCTGGAGTTTTTGACAATTAAAATTGCGCCCACTTATTCTAAGTTAACACATCTCTTAACAATGGTAGTTTCTGCATCCTACTTCAGCCCCCCCCCCCCCCCTGCGCAGAACCCGCAAACTCACTGATGCGCCTGCAGCCTTTCCTGCTGCTCTAAACATTAAAATAATTATTTCATTTTCTGTTCCTCACTTCTGATTACCTTCAATTGTGTTTGTTTGTTGCAACCAGGTACAAAAACAAACTTGTTTTTATTTGACTATTTTTCTGTACTGTCTGTTTATTATCTTCCTGCATCTCCTCTCAATCCTAAAGAAAAACTGCTACCTGCGTTCATATATATTCACCTTATGAGTTACCTTTGAGCTGCAGTTCTAAAAGATCTACCGACCACAAAAACAACGGAGTGCCGCTGCTCGCCAGCCGACTACAACGGGACCGTTTTTGCTGCGGAGTTCGTGCCGGAACGGAGATAGTGGAATTTTGGAGATGCGTCACCGGAGGACAAAACAGGTGATGTGCCTCGCTCCGCAGCAGCGAAACGCACCAGGCACAAATAACAGACAGAAAACATTAAAGGAAATGAGCCGACATGAACGATCGCATGTTTAATTTGTTTTTGAGGTGGTGACACCTGATTTGGCGGTGCTCAGGACGCAGATGTCTGGAGCGCGTCAACGATCAGAGCTTTGCATGCGCAAACTGGTTAAGATTAGGATGGGGATGAGGGGAAGGTAAAACTGCAAGAGGGAAAAGGTCACAGTTTGGTTAAATGTCCGTTTTACTGCCGGTATCAGTACCAACCCTCTGGCACAGCGCCCCGACGCGCAGGGGCTCATCACCTGCTGCCTTTTCTGAGGACTGCATCTTGTCAGTCATTATCACGTGACAGCGACTAGTCGATGACAGGCATAAAAAGTCACTACAAAGCCGTGAAGTCGACTAGTCAACTAGTTCATACAACCCCTAGTATAGAGACAAAGCATAGTATAGTATAGTATAGTATGGTATAGTATAGTATAGTATAGTATAGTCAGAGCCGGATTAACACAAAGGCAAAGTTGGCACGTGCCTAGGGCCTGATTGGCTGGATGGGGCCCAGACAGAGGAACAAAATTAAAAATAAATAAATTAAAAATTAAATGTACAAATGTCCTATGATAGAATTTGTAGATAGGACTCCTATCTACAATTTATTTCAATATCTATTAATTAAATAAAATTGTGACAATGTTTATCTTAACCATTGACCATTTTATTGGCTATGTCACATTAAGGCGCCACCCAATTAAGGACGCCAGAGAAGCGGTCAGAGTCAGAGCGGGACACAACAAAGCTAGCAGGTGTTTTTGAGTAGGCTAACGTTCACGATGCTTTCGGGTGCGGCAAAACGTATAATGAAAGAAAATGAAGAGGAACAAAAGAAGAGACAGCGGGGGTGGGGGTGGGGGCTTAACAAAAGTTTCTGTTGGGCTGCTCAGGCAGGTGTCCGACAGCTGTGAACCTGCTCAAGTCAGCAGAGCCAGAGGCCGGGCCCGAGCAGGACCCGGAGGAGACACGGCCCGAAGACGCGGTGGAAGATGCGGCGGGAAATGCGGCGGAAGGGGCTGTAGCGCCAATGCCATCAACATCAACGCTGTCACAGAAGGACGAACTGAAAGAACAGCAGCCAGCCGGAAGTGAGCCCAATATAGTCTTACAGGAGCCTCTAGACCCAGAAAGGGTGTTAACAACATCATTATGTTGGGATTTCAGGGTTAGCCCTGGAATGGTTTAGATCATACCTGACAAATAGAAAAAAGTGAGTAAGGATGGAAAGTTATTCCTCAGAGTACTCTGACCTACCCTGGGGGGTACCACAGGGCTCGATATTGGGACCTCTGTTGTTTTCTGTTTACATTCTGCCCTTAAGTGACATCTGTCGTGAGCTTGGAGTTCAATTCCACCTATATGCTGACGATTGTCAACTGTACCTGCCTCTGAACACGTCAAGTAGTCTCTATTTCTATTCTTACTAACTGTTTGAGGGAGATCAAGACCTGGATGAGTGAAAAATTTCTCAGCCTAAATGATCACAAAACAGAGGCTATATTGTTTGCTCCAAGCATACATTGTGACTCTTCCCTAACTGACTGTGGGTCATTTCATGGTCAGCTGACTACATCGGTGACTAATCTTGGTGTTAAACTGGATAGCGCCCTTAGTTTTGATACCCACATCAATGGAGTGATCTCCACCTCCTTTTTCCACCTTCGTCAGTTGGCAAAGATCAAACCATTTTTGTCACGTCATGATCTTGAGAAGGTAGTCCGTGCTTTTATTACGGTGAGATTGGACTACTGCAACTCTGTTTTATTCGGTGTGAGCAAGGGCTCAATAGCCTGGTTGCAAATGGTGCAGAATGCTGCTGCCAGATTTTTAGAGGGCAGGCGCAAGTTTGACCACATTACTCCTGTCCTGGCTGCGCTTCATTGGCTGCCCATTGATGTAAGAATTCGTTTTAAAATACTCTTATTGGTTTTTAAAACTTTAAATGGTTTGGCCCCGCCTTACTTGATGTCACTGCTTCAACCGTACACCCCTGCACTGTCACTCCGCTCGGAGAACCTCATGCTCCTCTCGGTCCCAAGAACATGCCTAAAGACACGTGGTGATAGGGCCTTTGCTGTGGCAGGTCCTAAGCTTTGGAACGAGCTTCTTCTCAGCATAAGGGCCTCCACCTCTGTTGCGGTTTTTAAGGCATGGCTAAAAACTACTTTTATGATCTGTCTTTTAACCTTTCTAACTAGTTTTTATTGTTTTACTTATAGTGATTTGTGCACTCACTGTATTTTTATCTGTATCTTGTGATACAATGTTTTTATTTTCTGGACTTAATGTTTTATGTTTTTTACTTGATCAGTGTAGTGCCTTGGTGGCATCTTTTTGCCTGTAAGGTAAGATTTACAAATAAAGTTGAGTTGAGTTGAGTAGTATAGCATAGCATCATAAAGTATAATTTAGTATAGAGACAAGTAAAATCATACAAGCAGCCGTGTTCATCTCTGTACTCATTTATACTCACTGACACTTGAAAAAATGAAAACAAACATTTGTACCAAGTCTGTTTTACAGATATTTGGGTTTATTTAAGGGATCCTGAATGGCTGGACTTTAGCATTTCTGCTACAGCTGAGCATCTCAATTATGATAAGGAACTCACCTGCCCTCAAACTGATTCCCAATTCACAAAATAGTGATGGACCTAATTCAATCCCAAACTTCTTAACCCTCCCACTGTCCTAATGGGTGTGACCCTGCCAGGAAAGTTGACCATTGAGCAGGATTGATGGTTTATCCCTTGGGTCCATGTGGCAGGGGTGAGGAGTGAGCACCACCTCACCCCTTCCACGTGGACCTCATGGAATAAACCATAAATCCTGCTCAATGGTCAATTTTCCTCGCGGGGTCACTCATAAAGACAGTGGGAGGGTTAATTGGATCAGCCTCCACTGAGATCAGAAAAAAAAGATGACTCTCCAAGATAAAAATCATGAGGCGCTTCACAAGAACAAACAATAAAAATTTCTAAATTGTTTAGAAAAAAAAAACAAAATTTCAAAATATCACAAGAAAGGGCAAAATTTGAAAAATTTGACTGAAAAATTCAGGAGGACAATATTGAAGAAAAATGTAATACCGGATCCCAAGCAAAGCACAATTGGTAGAGATAGCAGAATGAAGAGAAGGTAGTGAGGAAGAATAAATGGAAGCTCACACCAAAGCCATCTTGAACAGGTGAGTCTTCAGCAGCTTTTTAAAGGAGACCACTGAGTCCACTGATCTCAGGCTTAGGGGGAGAGAGTTCCAGAGTCTGGGGGCCGGAGCAGCAAATGATCTGTCACCTTTGGTCTTTAGCCTGGTGCTGCACAACCAGTAGGCTTTGATCACTGGACCTCAGGGACCTGCTGGGGGTGTAGGGACTGAGAAGATCACCAATGTATGACAGTGTATGAGGATTTCAGTCTTATCTTCATTCAGCTGTAGAAAGCACAGCCATCCAGGTTTTAATAGAGTCTAAGCAGGTGTGTAACAATTGCAGCTTAGACATCTCATGGGGGCTTAAATGACATGTACAGTTGGGTGTCATCTGCATAAAGATGGTAGGAGATTCCTTTAAAAGAGTTCAGGATGTGCTGAAGAGGAAGCAGATAGAGGAGGAAGAGCAGAGGCCCCAGCACAGAGTCTTAGGGGTACACCATGGGTGAGGGAAGTGGTGGAGGACCAAAACTTGGAGATGGCCACAGAGAAGGAGTGCTCAGACAGATAAGAGAACCACTCCAGAGCAGTTCCTCATAGTCCTACCCAAACACATTTCTACAAGCAACAGTTGGTCTGAGAGCTCCAACCAGCACATACAAAATTTAGGAGAATTTCCTTCAACTGCAATTTTATTGAAATACTAGCATTGCTTTTCTTTGAGCAGCCAAAACTGAACTTTAGAGACAAGATTATGTGTCTGACTTACTCAGGCTAATAAAACACTGAAGTAATGAAGTACCCAGTTGGAACATAAACTACGATTTATCTCTGTTTTCTGTTCCTCTTTGTTCTGTTTGGTTTTCTGACATAGCAAATATTAATACATGTTGCTAATTCAATTATTGATTTTTAAAGACATCATCGATAATCATTAAGATATAGAAGTCCAGATATCCCAGTTCATAATTGTGTAAAGAGAAATGTACAAATTGCATCACAGCAACATTACATGTTTCAGCAGCACATGTGGTGTGTTAGCGAAATCTTAAATCCAGCTGATCTGAACTAGGACAGAGCCTAACTTGTCCACGACTGTTCTGGCTATGAAACTGAAGCCTAAGCTGCTGACTTTACTCACCTGACTCATTTGCTTTTGGAGCATTGACGATGATGAGTTGAAGGGGAGGTTTGGCTGGTGAGTCTTCTCCAAGAGAAAGGACCAGAGGGTTCCCTAGGTCTAACTTTATCATGGCCTCAGGAGTGTCCTCGTCTTTAAAAACCAGTGCTGCTTGTTGTCCTGCCTCTGTGGGGACGGACCCCAGGTCCTGTTCTGTTGTGGTGATTGCTGGATGAAGTGCAGGATTCAGAGCTGCTTCTGCTGATGAGGTTTCCATCCTTGTGGTGATTTCTGGAGTCAGTTTGGTTTTTGGGGTTACTTCATCTCCCAAAGTCCCTTTGGAGCTAACATCCTCACTGCCTCCATCCCCACTAGCACTGCTCTCAATCCGGCCTGTTGCTACCTGACTTTCCTTCTCCCCGTGCTGGGAGATGTCCAGGTATTCTGGCTGTGTTGGGGGGACAAATAAAGCTGGGAGCCATATAGGACTGAGCGTGTCCCACTTCGGCAGAGCCTCTACCAGACGCGTATCTTCCTTAACATCGTAGTCATGAAAGGTGATGGTGGACGTAGCCAGTGTTGTAACAAGGGGGGAGTTGAGGTCCACATGTGGGCTCTCTGTTTGTGAAAAACGGCCCAGATCTGGTGTTCTGGTCTGAAGTTCAGCTCTGGCAGGGTATGGACCAGTGTGAGCGCTAGCTGTGGTTGGGTCTGGTAGTATCTCTGAAAGACAAAATGAGTAGGGAGTTAAAAATAACACAACAAAACCTGATCTTGTTAAAATGATGACGTAGGCCAACACCAGCCTGTGGTTTGAGACAAAAAAGACAATGTGCACAGATTTAATCTGGAGAATCAACACAACCTTTGTTTCATGTTTCTAAGCACCAATATTCCTAACTTTCTTTGCTTTAAAAAATTAAATGGTCATTTGATTTTTTGCTATAATTTGCAGCTGGCTCAGCCTTCACACTGTTCACTATGCTGCAAAAATATGTGTTCTGCTTCTGTCAGTGTGCCCAAGGGCAGCAATGGCTGCAGTTTAGCTCATCACCACCAGTGAAAATGTGTGTGTGAATGGATGAATGACTGGTGTAAAGCCCTTAGGAGTCATCTGACTCAAAATGCACTTTACAAGTGCTGGACATTTATCATCATCATTTAAAGACCAAGTTCAATCGTCCTTTCAACACATTTGCAGTAACGATGGAGAGCTTCACCGTTCTGGTTTGGTCACGACGTTAGCGAAGTGACTGCACCGGTAGCTTCACTGTGCATCGGATACAACTGACTGCTAAATCGCCATCTATCAGCCAGTCTCTTGTCAGTAAAAACCATGGTTGCATTAATTACTTATCTGCTATGTCCTCGTTCTTTCGAGGCACATTGAAAGCACCATTTTTCGGCATTTGTTATTACATAAGCTACAAATAAAAGGTGAAAAAAATCACAGAAGACAGATGATACGCAATAATAACAATATTGATAATAATGGATCATTTACTGATCCCCATTGGGAAGTTGTTCTATGCATTTGACCCATCTCTGATTAGCACCTGGGGGGCAACTTACAGGGTTCAGTGTCAAACCCAATGGTACTTCTACATGTGGCCTGCCGGGGCCTAGGATCGAACCGCTTATCTCTGTTCAGCCTACTCTGAACAGGGAGGCTATAAACCGGGGTTTGTAGGGGAGCAGTTCCTGACACCCAGTACAAACATATTCAGTCATCCTGGATCCTACTGTTGCATGATTGACATGTAAGTCATGCATTTGACAACCAGAACCATGACACAGAACTTGGCTGCTGCTCCGCTCAGGTTTGACACAAATCCACAGATAAAAGACAAGAGCCAGATAAATGACTTTTTTATTATCTATAATGTTGCTGTGCGACTCTGTCATATGTTATTCCCATACTATGCTTAAAAAAGGAAGAATCTCGCAAGATCGGCTTTGGAAAAATCTATGTACCTCAAAGCTTGTCTACTAACTACGAAGTAGACTAATCACATAAACAACAGCTACACCAATGAGGCGGATGTTTACAGAGTGAAATCAGCATTGCCATGAGTCATTAAAAAGAAAACCATGATATCTGGAGAAGCAAAGTCCTGTGGCTCTATCAGGCTGTAGTTAGCATGCAGCAGCCTATAAAAGGTAATGTTACCAAAAATCCAAGCAGCCACAAGAAGTCAGCTGTGAAGAATGAAGCCATTTCATGCCTGGAAGATGCTGTCAAAAAATAGCAGTCACAACTTCAGGCCTGAAATAGTCTGGAGGAAAAGTTACTTTAATAGAAGACAAACTTTCAAATAGACTTCCGCTAGCTAGTTTCTCCAGACAGGGTCAGGTCATCCCCGAGTGTTTATCCTACTAAAACTGACTTTATCTAAACGTACTAAAACTGTTGTTTTTAAATGAGCCTGGAATGATTTGCATCTCTTGGTGAAACAAGTAAGAACAGCAGCATTTAGGACTTGTAAACACACAAAGCTCTGTTTTGTGAGTGTCTCATATCCTAAATGTCTTAAAAGCACACATAAATATACGAGGTTCAATGTTCTATTCAAACCATGTACCTGCTCACTGCTCAGTGATTAAGGTAACACTTGTTGCCTTATTATTAGTTCACATCATCCATTTGATGTCAACAACTTTGTGAAAAGAACGGCTGTGTTCATCACTAAACAGCATTCACCACTGGCAAAATAGTTTTGTTATAATCAGACCCACAGGATGTATTTCAGATCATTCTTTCACTCCACTCTACTCTACCTGTCAGAGACCTTAACACCTTGTAACAAAAAAAGCAGTCTGTACATTTACATGCACATCTAAGCCAAGCCGTAGAAATAATCAAGCTAACCAGAGTGGACGCTTTTATAGTTTACATGTCTGTAGGGGAAGTCCAGTAAGACCGGAATAAAAGACAGAAATCAGATAATCTATCTATCCATCCATCCATCCATCCATCCATCCATCCATCCATCCATCCATCCATCAGCAGACATGAACAATCGTGTGTGATCTTTTTGGTGGCACCACTTTAAGTTACTGGGGCAGGACTAAGGCAATGCTTAGTTTTTCTCCTACTGCATGTAAACCCACTGAGGGTTGATGCATAAGTCCTGGCCAGCAGTGTGCAAGATCCAGTAAACAACAGTGCATTTTTCAGAGTACCAGAAAAATACAATTTATGATGAAATATGAATAAATAAAACAAGCATGAATTTGGGAGGTTTTGCAGGAGATTTGCATTACTGACACACTATCTCAGGAACACCTGTTGCAGTCATTGCTCCTACCCAGTGTGATCATAATAATATAGCCCTTTCCTTAAAAGAAAAAAAAAAAAAATATATATATAATTACATTTATTTTGTATAAAAACTGAGTGAACATTAACATCAGAGAGGTTTGGTGCATGAATAAAATAGAGCAGCATGCACAATCCTAATGCACGTTTGATCGTTTTGTCTTTTGCGCCGTGGAGGGGACGCTATAGCCTCATGTTCAGCCCAGCCCAGATATGATGTCATGTGTTTGGTGAGCTGCAGCCATCTGGCTGAACTGAGATCTTTCACTTTACTTTGCATGAACTCTCTCCTGCAGCTCTGCCACCGTACTTAAAGCTTGGCAACAAACATCACTCGTATCTTCAGAAAGTACCTTTGCACTGCCAGAAATCAGACTGTTTGGGATTACATTTATGTACACCTCTCCCTGAGAAGACATGACCTCTTTGTTAACACTAAAAAAAAAAAAAAAAAACTCATTTTACCTACGGGAGAACGCCCCCTCTTTTCCACTTCCTTCATCTGTCTGTCGGTGTTGTTTGGGCTGGGTCCAGCTGTAAAGCATTAGGGACCTGTCCTGTTTCTCCTCTGTCTGTGCTAGACTGCATGGGCCGGGTTTTCCCCTCATAAAAGACCAACTCCACCATAAACAGGATAGTGGTAGTTTATTCTTCTCCTGTTGAAGTCAAATTCTGTTTGTTCCCTGTCATCCTTCTCTGGTGTCACGCCTTTCTGTTCCACCACATTTAATCCGCTGCCGATTGTTTGTGCTGCAGCACACCTCACAGTTTATTTAGTCAGTTACAGTTTTGCTGGAAAGGGTCAGCCTGAATCAATTGTTTTTGGGTTAAAAGTCAGATCAGCTTCATGCCCCACTATTTGGTTCATGATTAATAATTAATTATACAGTGCTGTAAAATGATACGGATGGTATAAGTTAGTAAAAGTTAGTGCTGACAGGATGGTTTACATTGCTAATTAATCTGTTTAGCTTTGCTTTTGTCCTAACATGGAACTCTGTTCCTCATGTCATTTCCATGCACCCTCATCTTGTTTATATTAGAGCAGTACACGCATGTAAGTTCAGGATTTTCTGTGATTCAAATTTGGAGCCTGTTAAAGGGGAATCCCACAGCTGTTGTAGTATATTTCTGTAATTACACATCCTATACCCACCACATTACTTGACTGTTTGATTACTACCAGACTTGTAGAATTAAGAAATAAATTCATTATAATCTGTCTGATGGCATGAAATTTGCTAAACGATTTCAAGAAGCAACACATCATGTTCTGTTCACTAGAAAATCGGTATCCAAAGTGCAGATTAAAGCAACAACAGTTTTTTTAAACCTTAAGATAAAGCTTTAACATTGATCTCAGAGATTGTTGGGTTAGAAACTTGACCAATTTAATATTTGATGCCACACTGAAACCCTCTGCTGACCAAAACCCTCACTTGATAGGTTTTTGGAGCAGGTAGATGCCCTATAAGGGGAGCTCTTTATTTGCTTCATGGATGTTAGCTGTAATGGTAGCGTTAGCATGGTCAGTTTACAGATCATCAATAAAAAGCACAAGAAAAAGAAAAAAAGTTAGCTTTTTCTGATGGCATCATGGCAGAGTCTGGAATTAAAAGTAAGAGTAATGTCTTTGGAGGTGAAGCAAAGAGCTAAAACTGAAGTGAACATTGGTACTACCAACACTAGTTTATGGGAGCTAAAGGAGGCTACAAAAATCACATGATGGTGACCTTTCTTTGTTGCTACTGGACTTGTAAGTAATAATATTCTTTGCCCAACAGTGTGGATCTTTTTAATTTGTAGTTTATTTTATTTTTACTTATAATAGCTGTATTATTATTTTAAGCTGGCTTGTGTTCAAGGTTAAGTTAATTTGTACAATATGTTTAGAGTTGCATAAGCAACTTTAAAGTGCTGAACAAGAATAAAAATGAAAACAATCATGTTATTGCTAGCACAATGTTAGTGCTAGCTCCAGCAGGCTGCAGCAGTGGCTTTATGACAATTGTTATTCCACGTTCAACCAGTAAGGTGGAGGAGCAGGAAACTGTTTAGCGTTACTTTAAGGGAGGCAGCAGGAAACTGTTTAGTGTTACTTTAAGGGAGGCTCAAGGCTGAATTCTCTGCTGACCTAGAACAACATAGAAGCCCATCTCACATTTGCCATGAAACAAGTTGATAATCCCTAAACATTTGGGAGCATTTCAGTGACCTGATAAGACAAAGTGGAACTTTCTGGAAGGTGTGTGTCTTGTTCCATCTGGTGTGAAACTACTGCTGTGGTTCAGATAAAGAACATCAACAGTCAGACATGGTGGTGGCAGTGTGATGGTCTGGGGCTGCGCTGCTGTGTCAGGATCTGGATTAAACAGATTAGCTCATGTTGATATGGTGTCATGTTCAATCAATCAATCAATCAATCAATCAATCAATCAATCAACCAATCAATCAATCAATCAATCAATCAATCAACCAGTCAATCAATCAGATTTTAGTTATAAAGCGCTTTTCAAGAAAAGTGCGACTCAAAGTGCTTTACAGAATTAAAACGACCCCAAATTCCCATAACAGTTTGAAAACATTAATACACACACACACACACACACACACACGCATGCGCACACGCACACACACACACACACGCGCGTGCACACACACACACACACACACGTACAATTTTATATTCGGCTGAGTCCAGATGAGCCAAGTAAGGTAAAGCAAGGAAACGCCATCAGAGGAGCCGGATGCCCCGGCAGCATCAGGTCTACCACAGCAACTAAGTCAGGGCGCTCAGAGGAGGGGGAGCATAGACCCCCACCTCCACTCAAACACTACCTGTAGAGCACCCAGGAAGCAACAGTCGACCACCGCCCCTGGGGCAGAGGTCCCCTACAGAGAAAACACTGGGTTAAAATGAGTAAAAATATTAAAATAAAAGAGCTAATATAAATGACAAAAGAAAGAAAATACATAATAAATAAATTCATACGGACAGTAAAATAATATTAAATAATGAAACTGTGCTAAAATATAATCATATAAAACATGCAAAGCCAGTCATAAAATATAATCATAAATATGTTCTCTTTACATATTTGAAATAGAGATTTGAACATGATTAAAATCCCTCCTCAGCGCTGTAAGATGCATTTACATTTACAACGTGTTGGTTTGGAGGTTTCATCCCTTAATAAATGAAATCATCAGGTTGTCTGATGCTGAAATGTGTTTGCTGATCTGAGACATTTTGTGACCAAAATTAAAACAAAATGATAAATGGCTGTGTTTACAGAGTACTATTTTAATCCTGAAGACTCAAAGCATTTTAGACTACAGGTCATGTTCACACCCCTTAACATTCAGATCAAAAGAGGCTAAAAGGGGTTCAGTGCCTTGCCCGAGGACACTGATGTGGTGAGAGGAGCCAGAATTTAACATCAAGCGTTTTGGCTGGCAGACACCAGGTTTTCCTATATCAAAGACTTTCCAACTACACTTTTTGTTTCATGAAGCAGCTGAAAGAGCAGGAAAGATGCGTTTTTACCTCTGAAGCAGTAAGCTCCATGCTTGTCTGTGGGGTCAGGGAAGCCGGTTTGGTTTTCATACTTGTAGAGCGTACGAACCCCCAGTGTTCCACCTCCACACTGAGGCAGGGGGACGTTGATAGGGTACCGGACACTACCGTCAGACAACCAGCCATAGTCGCAGCGGTTCAGCCCCTCCCTCCAGGCTGCAAACAGCTGACCAGGAGAAGCCAGAGCAGCACCATACGTCTCACATTTTTCTTTTGCCTGCTGCCAGGTGAGCTTTTCACTGATGGAGAGAGGGTAGAAGATCTCACCTGCAGAGGCAGAAGGAAACACAAAGGTCCATCAACATTGTAGACTAGAAACATTTCTAAATTTCACAAAAATGCAAAAAAACATTTTCTCAAACCACACTAAATATGACATTTTATTAAATATTTTAAAAATCTGTCAAAACAAAACAGAGCTTCAAAAGCGTTTCATGGTTTTAGACACCAGCATAGCCCTGAAACAGCTTGTGTACGTGTTTAATGACATCTTTTAAACTTTGGATTCAGGGTTCCATGTGGTTCTGGTACTTCTTGATCGATCTGCAGCCTTTGATATGATCGATCATAACATCTGGATCGCCAGACTACCCATATGGGCTGGCATCACAAGTTCGGCCCTTGACTGGTCTAGGGTTTAATTTTCTAGCAGGACCCTCAGGGCCATGCTGGACAACTACTCATCCCAGTCGGGCTCTCTTCCTTGGGGGTCCCTCAAGGTTCCATCCTTGGCCCATTACGATTCTCCCTCTACATTCTGCTTTTAGGAGTTACTCTCAGACAGCATGCTGTTTCATACCAATAGCTGTGTTTCCACTACCAGAACTTCAGGGTAAGTTTTCAGGAACTTGCCGACATCTGCATGTCTCCACTTGACCGGGCTGGCCAAATGGTTATTTTCCGGGCTGTTTTCAGGAACTTTCTGAGTACCTGATCAAGGGTAGGCACTTGGAATGGTCTGGTGGAGTAGCTGAGAGGAACATTTGCATAGCTCGAGCTTACTGGTAGTTAGAAATTACCTTAGCAGATGTCGTTCAAAACAACTGGTTTTAGTAAAATTAGAAGAGTTGCGTGTGAAATGGAGTAGAAGCAAAAGAAAAAAACCCACCTATCGTGCTGCTTTAAAATTCCCTTACTAATCTCCCGACATCCGGAAAACAAGGTGATATTCCCCCACAATGATGTAATTCACAGGGTGTCATAAAAAAAACTATGCTTCTTCTGGTCATTGAATGCCACATTTTGCATCACGCAGCTCCTTTCACCCTCTGAATGGATTAAATTATGCTGTACTTCAACATAATAAAACTGTTAATGTTAATGATGCTACGGTGGATGCTTTTTAACCCTGATCAGTGACATCACTCACTGCCGAAGCAGTCGCGATATGCTGACGTCTGTGCAAAGTCCTCAAAGGGCTGAATTTGAATGGAGACAACAGCTGCGACATCTCATCTTCCAGTCAATTTTCCCCTCCCAGAATTTACCCTGAATTTCTGACGATGGAAATACACCTATTTATATGCAGATGACTTGCTTAAACCTACTTACTCCACTTAACCTCTGTTTGATTGTCTTCATGATGTCAAGGAATGGCTGACTGAAAACCTCCTAATTGTTTTTAGTCTCCATGTTGGAGCAACCCATCCATCTGACCTCCACTCTCTTTCTCCCCAGGTATCCTCTACTGTTTCCAAATTTGGAGTGAAACTGGACCTGGTTGTGAAGATGGACGTTTAGGTCAGTAGCCCTGTCAAGTTCTGCCTCTACCACCTCAGGTGAATTTCTAAATTAAAGCCCATCCTGAATGTCCATCTTCTAGAATCAGTGATTCACGCCTTCATCACATCCCGGCTGGATTACTCCAACTAAAACAGCTCTGTCCAGACTTCAGCTCGTCCAGAGTTCAGCAGCAATGTTCCTGACTGGAGCTGATACTTTCCATTGATTGCCCGTTCAGGTCAGGATCAAGTTCAAATTTCAGCTTTTTGCATTCAAATCTTTGAATAGTCAGGCTCCTCTCTATCTGAATGAATGCCTCCATTTCTACCACCCTCCTCGTGCTCTTAAGTCTGCAGATCAGCTCCTCCTTACCATCCCTAAGACATGTTTGAAGACCTGCGGGGAAATGGCTTTTTTAAATCTGTGCACCAAAACTTTGGAACTCACTACCTCTCCAGGTTAGGCAAGCATCCTCTATTGCCATTTAAATCACATCTGAAAACTTCTCCCTGGCCTTCAAACCCTAAAGCATTAATTCACACTTTGCCGTCCTTCTTTCCACCTTGGATGTTCAATTTGAAATCTGAGGATTGTATATTGTGGTTCCACCTTGTTTGTTTGGCTTCACTTTGTTGCTCTTTTAATTGTTTTTATGACCTACAGTATGTGACCGCTTCTGCCTGTGTTGTTGTATTAATGTGCAGCGCTTTGGCCAGTTGCAATGCCATGTTAAAGGTGCTCTAGAAATAAAGTGGTATGGTAAGAGATATCTAAAATGTAGGCCACAGAAAAATCTCATTACGTTTTGATTGACTGAAATCTGCAACTGGCGTGTCACAGAAGACCCAAAAAACCCAAAGGTTTTGTGTTTACCGTGCACTTTATCTACGAAGCAGTAGACGTCATACTTCTCTGCAGGGTTACGGACGCCATACGTTCTCACACCTGGCTGTTGCAACAGATCACCCGCGCAGCCCGGGCGAGGAAGAGCAATCGGATATCTAGGGTAAAGAAGAATATGAAACAAAAATGTTTATGTGGAGATTACTTTTCTTTCTGCTGGGGTGCACGGAGTAGAACAGAAAATCATGACATCATGGCTCCAAAAGATGTTACATATGTCACTAAACGTTTACAAGGTCATCAAATTTTCCTCCTTATTTTGCGCTTGTGAAACTCACATTTCACAATTTTTGTTCCAAATTTACTCAAAACTGGACGTCCATATGCTGTACTCATAAAACACTTAGACATGGACATGATGGCATCCATTTGGTTTTAGAGTTTCTGGGACTTGGGTATAGAAGACAGTCAGTGTGATTGACAACATTTGCTGGTAAGAATTTGGCAGAAGCTTGCTGGTAACAGTGCTTTTGTCATCATAGCACCAAACTGAAATGCTACAAGTGACACATTTTGTAAATAGTAAAATCATGGTAGTAAAAAAGCTGTGGAAATATTTGGGTCCACTCAAATTGTGTGACAATCAGTGTAAAAACTTAGTCTTGAACCCTAAAGAGCATCACACAATCTAATTTTGTTAGTTTTCATTAATTTATTCATTTAAAATAATAATGTTTGTACTGATGACTTAGGGTAGTTCTAGATCAGGCTGCTTGTGTCCGTGATCTCATTCTTTTGGTCACTACCCAAAGCTCGTGACCATAAGTGAGGGTAGGAACGTAGATCAACCGATAAATCGGGAGCTTCTCCTTGCTCTCTCTTCCCCACAACAGACCAGTACAACACCCGCATCACTGCAGATGCAGCACCAACCCGCCTATCGACCTCGCGCTACATCTTTCTCTTGTTCGTGAATGAGACACCTAAACTCCTCCACTTGGGGCAGGACGTCATCCCTGACTTTCCGACTCAAGACCATGGTATCAGATTTACAGGAGCTGATTCTCTTCACTTTAAAAATGTTTTGGTTTGTTTTTTGCAACAACTCACTCAGTGTGGTTTTAGTAAGATGATAAGTTAGCCCAAGAAAACCTCGCCAGTTTTATATTTTGACTGGAGACAAGAAAACTTCACCTTGATTACATGAGATAGAAAACCCAGTTGTACATCCTGTTTCATTCACTACTGCTGTTATTACACTTTGTAACAACTGCAGGCAGCAGATTTATTTCTAATTAATGAGTAAAATAAATATTAATTTATTTTCATTTTTTAATGTAATAAATCTGAACAGAAATAATATCAGAATGATATTTGTACCTGACTGTTCTGTCAGACAGCCAGCCTGCATCACATTGGTCATAACCATCCTCATAAGCAGCGGTCAGCTGGTTGGGTGAAGCCATGATGGCGTCCACAGAGCTGCATGCATCCTTGGCCTCAGTAAAGTTCAGAGTGTAACGGCTGCTGCTGGCTCTGTAGTGGAACACCACTCCTGCAGAGACCGTCAGAGATCTTAAGGTCAAACATGGCCACAGCAGTGTTTCACTAAACAAAATGCAAAAACAGGGCTGAGAAACTGAAGTTAGAACAAGATCATCCGATTACATAAAACAGATTTATTAAGCTAAAACCTTAAACTGACAAATATTAGGAGAATATCTGAGAAAGATAAATAAAATGGCAAAGGAATCAAGTCTCATTATTACAAACAAGATGAAAACATAACCATAAACATACTTCACATTTAGTTTAAAAAAACAATATGGTTCAAAAATAGATGCAAATAAATAAAACATTCTTTAAAAATGACAATAAAAACACTAAATGTTGTATAATTAAATTATTTTATATAAATACATAAACAAAAAATGATGAGATAATTTCATGTCATGAAATTGTTCTTAAAAATATTAAATAAACATACACAGAAAGCATCTTCCATGCATTGCTCCTGTGTGTATGAACATCTGCATTGCAGTTTTTTAACACATAAGTGTTATTCACACTTCTGCTGGGTTAAAAAGCTGTAATGCAGATACACAGAAAGCCTTACAAAGTATTATGAGGAAAACAAAAAATAAAGTTAAAAACACTGACGAATAAAAATGTATAAACTTTTTTGTAATATCATAAATTATGTGTACATACCAACACACACAGCTTTTTCTAATACACCAAAGGTCCTATTGAACAGTTGGATTCCACTACATCTCACATCTCAGCAAGTCTCTGCTCCACTGTGACGTCTAATGGCAGCAGATTACAGGCAGACAGAACCTGATGGCTGCAGAGATCCATGACACAACAGGCAGAAACTCAAACCCGTGGGTTCTTTCAGCTGTCATTCTGGGACTAAATATCACAGCAGTCTGGTGTCATTTGGTCTGAAGGATCAGTTCTCATGTCGGGGGAATCCTGGCAGGGCTGCAGGTGGATGTGAAAGGACGTCTGAGCTGCTAAATGCAGAGTTGTGTGTCACTCATAGGGAGAGGCTTTGTGTGGATGAGCCCAACAAAGACTTCTGTTCAGCATTAATGTGGAATCTATGGAAATGTCTTGGAGAGCAGCTCGGCTCAGCTGGACCAAATGTTACCAGCTCTACGGAGCAGTTTGTTCTGTAGCCACGCCACACTAGAGCTCAGACCAAACCAGCAGATCGGTCCAGCATTAAAACCAAATAAGAATCTACTTTTCACTCATTCTTTTTATCAGGAAAGTAGCATGGCACTGTTGTTAGAGGCAAATTTATATCCAAGTGCAGAACTGGAGTTTAAACTCATTTGTCCTGGTGTTTGCATAGCTAAGAAAAATCAGCTGCACGACCATTCTCTTTTATGCAAATAGTTTATCAGTTACTTTATTTTTTTTTAATTCACAGCTTCCAGAGTTTCTGTAGCAACCATGAGCTGCAGGTCAGATGTTCCAACGAACCGGTCACCAGTGTGAGCTCCAATAGACGCAGGAGTTAGTTGGTCTGGAACATACAGGTGTGTGTCAACATAATGCTAAATCAGCAGCGACTGCTGAGACGCATTTGCAACTGACCACCATTCTGGGAGGGGTCAAAGGTCATTTATCAACTATTTGAAGTTCATCTTCATGAAGAAGGCAAGACAGTTGTATTTATATGGGCTCGATTCCAGCTCCCGCCAGGGGTATCCTGCTGTTGTGTCCTTGGGCAAGACACTTCACCCAACTTGCCTGTGTTAGTGGTGGTCAGAGGGGCCGACGGCGCCAAATGGAAGCCTCGCCTCTGTCAGACCTCCCCAGGGCGGCTGTGGCTACAAGTAGCTTACCATCACTAGCAGTGTGTGAATGTGAGAGTGTGTGAAAACGTCTTTGGGTGTCTAGAAAAGCGCTTTATAAGTTCAATGCATTATTATTCATTATATAGCAAGATTCATACACCGAGGCAACTTGTTAATCTACCATATGTGGACACCCAATCTAGGGGTGTAAATCATTAGTTTGATCACAATATGATATCAGTACCGTGGATTGTGTTTTAAATCATGTCTGAAATCCAGTAACAAACCACTTCAATGTGATTAGATTCAGGATCCACTGATCGATATAAAACAATCATTTCCTAGGAGAGAAGACTATTTCTTCACGGTCTGTTTTCTGACTGCTCGCCATGACGCTGCTGGCTTCATTATTTAACACTTTTGGTAATGTGCATTAGCAGGTGGAAACAGTGTCTGAGCGGAATTTCAAACTAAAGATAAAAAAAAAGTCATAATGACAAACAAAAACATTTTTCACAGAACTTGTTTGGATGTTACTCTTCTACAAACTTTGTTTTTGACTTTTGGAAGGAAGCAGCAACAAAAGGAAAAAAAAAAGTTTTCTACCACTGCGTCAGGAACTCCATCTCTTCTCATCCCCCATGTGTGCTGTGCGCCTCTTACTTCACCACTTTATATACGGAAGTCAGAACACACAAACCGCACTTTGATTCATCCAATCAGCCAAGAGTTACAAGCCTCACCGTTCACCAAATCGGTATTCGTCTGACCAGTAAGTTAGTTCTTTATTTGTGCAGTAATGCCTTTACGTTCTCTTTGCCCTTTGAGAGACGTACCAGTGTTACTAGATGAACTGCTTGTCGGCAGCTTTCAATGCTCGTACTCTCGCATTTGGGTCTCACCACACATCCAAACTTGCTGATCTCAGTTCAGTCAGCGATCGTTTCTGACAGTGGTTGGGTTCGGATTCACTTGTCCACACTGTGGGAACGGCTGCTCTAGGATGCTAGTAGTTTATTTACAGGCTTTCGCCAGCATTGTTTGATTTGAACGAGTGTGCTGCTGTTGACTTTAAATTTCCATATCAAGCTAATACTCGTAGGGCAACTGATGACATCAGGTGACTTTAGAAAATTCAAAAGGGTTCAAATGAAGGCAACTGGACTTTTTTGGTTTCTTGAAGATGTTTCGCTTCTTGTCTGAGGAGCTTTGTCAATTCTGACTGGAATATGGGAGAGTCAAGCTTATAAGCTGTAGCTGTCTGTTATTTAACAAGCAGAAACTACTCTGAGTACCCCCTCTCAGAGAAAATTCCTCTTTCAGCAGCTGAACTGATAAATAAAAATTAATTAAAAAAAATAAAAATCATAAAAAATGTTCAATTGTTTAAGTAATTTTTAAAATAGAGCACTTTTGTCCCTGCCAGTGGTGCGCATCTGGATGCAGTCAGTAAGTGTGTGGACTCCTGATATCGGCTGTTAATGTGGCGGTGAAGTGTTTTACTCACCGGAGACTCTGAGGCTGACGGTGCTCTGAGCGTCCTCCATCCCATACATCACCTTACAGCGATAAAGGCCGCTGTCACTTGCCCTGAGCCCCGTGATCATCAAAGAGGCATCACCCGCCGCCAGCGGATCTTTGGATACCGACACCCTGTCCTGGAACTCCGAAGCCACCTTCATGTTCCCTTCAAACGCCACAACCACCCCCGTCTCCAGCAACTCATCCTGTGACTCTTCCACTTTCACCCACTGGATCCTGGCATTTTCTCTCTGACTGGGGGGTACGGTTGTTGGAGTATGTGTGGAAATGTGTTCCAGGCTTCTGGGAGATATTAGCATTGTGGAGAAGTCACATGGCAATAGCACCGTCTCGCCTAGAAAGCCTGATACCTGTGAGACCTTCTTAATCCTTCCTGGAATGTGTGGGGAAGCTGGAAGACAAGAAGATGGCATGGAGGCATCTAATGAAGACCGTCTGAGTGTCTGTCCACTCATGCACACACACACACACACACACACACACACACACACACACACACACACACACACACACACACACACACACACACACACACACACACACACACACACACACTCATAGTCAAAAACCAACAGAAATGGCTGAACTGAAGCCTGATGCTTAAACCTAATCAAAGCATCTTCTGCTGCTAACCCATGATGGGTCTTGGAGCTAGAGCCCCTGGCTACCTCCTCCAGCTGATTCAGAGAGACTCAGAGATGCTCCCAGACCAGCTGAGCTGTGAGATATTATTTGTCCAGATAGTTCTGGATCTGCTCTGTGGTCTCAGTGAGGAATATCTAAAATACATGATCAGGTTCATCTGATCATTTCACGTTCATGCCATCAACTCATACTTAGACCTAAAGATAATGAAGCATGTAATAAAATAAAGTTCTGATTGTAGTGTAAAATGATCAAGGTCACTGTTGAGCAGTGTAAGTGTTTGAAGTTTCTGAGCTGATTTAAGATGGTCCAGATGTTACCAATTCAGTGGAACGACCCATGAGTCAAATTAGAAGAGGGATATGGAAGCTAGCTTCAGCATTGTCCTTGAATGTTCACAACCAATCACAAACTGTGCTTTACAGAAATTGCTTTAGAATCTTTTAGACGCCCACAATTTGAAGAAGGGACTCTGCTAATCGATGGTCAGGATGCAAAAGACTCTGTGGAATTACCCTTTAACCAATTGCTGACTCAGAGGTAGCCTCCAACTGTCTTGACTTGTTGCAGACGTCTGTTTTAAAACAGTTCCCTTAAAAAGGAGGATAAGAGCCACTCCTCTGGAAGATGAAGCATGACTGATAGAAAGCCAACATGTCCTTTTATTTAAATGGAAATGGAAAAAATATGTTTAGGAACTTTTCTATTTGGCAAATGTCAGCATTGTGTTAGACTCGTATCAGTCTGACTCCTCCAAGCCTGGACCCTGCATCCTTTTACGATGACACGGTCTTATTGGACCATTTAACCTTGATCAAATTAGATCTGTTTCAATATTTAGATACTTTTTTAATTGGTTACTTTAAGAAAATTTTTCTAAAATGCGTTTGAGCTCTGAACTTCTAAATAAATTGTGTTTAATCTGTTTGAGGTCCTAACCTAAGAAGAACAAAAGCATAACTTTAGCTGGTCTCAGGAGGATTTTAAACATAGATCAGTACAAAAAGTTGAAGGATATCCTCCCTCCTTTAATCCTGGACTCACCTGGCTGAGGGCGAGCTGAAGACAGACCCAGGAAGACCAGCAGGTGCATGAGGGCGGGTCCAATCATCTCCATGAGATCTGTGGGCAAAACAAGGAGTTGGTAATTGTTTCATCAGCTTTATTTGGTGAGTTTAGATGTTAACCAAACTGGTTTTCTAAGAGACATCACCATGTTTCTTAAAATGTTCCTGTCGACACCACACAGAGAAGTGGAAATGATAATCATATTACATCTTGGTTACTTTTCAGATTTTTGAGTCTGACATTCAGTAAACGTTCAGCACAGACAATCCCAGAGTAACTAGAGGGAGTTTTCTCTGCAGGTGGAAGATTGTCCCTTTCTGCCTCCACTTTATTACTGCTGGTGGCAGAGAGAAGCTGCAGGAGACCCGTGAACTGTTAGTACATGTGCTGTCATGTGAAACCTTACGAGGCTGCCCACACATCTGAGACATGCTGTCACATCCTTTCAGAGTGAGAATCAGACATGTGGTTGGAACCACGCAGCTCATGATCTTTATGTGTATGGTGGTTTTGTCAAATTAGACTGCAGTTAAAGGATTTCAGCAGCACTCGAGGTGATGATGGCTCTTTATGAACTGCTCTGTCCCAGCTTTAGAGATGTTCTGCTCTCTGTTTTCAGGGCCATTTATTTTTGGTGCACAAGCGCTTTTCCAGCAGTCAACAGGTGGGGTTGCTGTGCCAACACAAAGACAAACAGGACAATCATCATACATCCTCACACACATAGACAGGTTAACCTCATGTTTTGGACTTCTGGAGGAATTCAGAGCATCAACAGAACACTCACCAAACACACAGAAAGGTCCCAGTGAGATCTGAACCAGAGACCTTCTTGTTGATTACCTGCATCACCATTCTGCCCCAAGTACATCCCGCTGAATCCAGTGTTTCAGTATAGTCGGAGTCAGAAGGATTCGATTCAATTCCTTTCTACTCAGCTGCATCACACTGATGCTACAGTCAACAGTTAAAGAGGTTTTGGGTCATTCTGAAATGTTCTTCTGATATCTCACCCATTTATTTTCTTAATGAAATAAAGTGGGCCAGAACACCAACTGTTGTTTAAAACAGAGTTTATTGGACTGTAGCCTCAGGTCTAAAGAGTACAAAAATGCAAGCATAAAATTGGGACTCGGTAAAGGCAGATACTAATTTCTAAATGATTTGGACAACGATCTGAAAACAAAGCAGAACTTAATGTTAGCTTCTGACAAAACCAGTAACTGGCACAAATGATAATGACCCGCACATGCTTTCAGAGTCAGAGGACTCCAAAGAGCATTACACTACAGTGTAACACACACACACACACACACACACACACACACACACACACACACACACACACACACACACACACACACACACACACACACACACACACACACACACACACACACACACACACACACAGATGGTGATGAGCTACGATATAGCCACAGCTGTCCTGGGGTGCACTGACAGAGGCAAAGGCTAGTGATATTTGCCTATTCAGTATCCATCCACTTTCATGTGCTTATTCTGGTTGGGTTGCGGGGGCAGCTGCCTAAGCAGAGGCTCAGACTTCCCTCTCCCCTGCCACTTGGGCCTGCTCCTCCGGGGGAATCCCAAGGTATTCCCTGGCCAGCCGAGAGACATAATCCCTCCAACGCGTACTGGGTCTTCCTTTAGGTCTCCTCCCAGTTGGACATCCTAACTAAACGCCCGAGCCACCTCAACTGGCTCTTCTTGATATGGAAAAGCAGAGGACCTACTCCAAGCCCCTCTCTGATGAACGAGCTTCTCACCCTATCTCTAAGGGAAAGCCCAGCCACCCAGCAGAGAAAACTCACTTCGGACGCTTATATCAGCGATCTCGTTCTTTCAGTCACTACCCAAAGCTCGTGGCCATAGGTAAGGGTAGGAACATAGATTGACCGGTAATTGAGAGCTTTGCCTTCCAGCTCACCTCTCCCTTCACCATGACAGAGCCACATCACTGCAGCACCAATCTGCCTGTCAATCTCAGAAGCTTTCCCTCGCTTGTGAACAAGATCTTGAGATACTTAAACTCCTCCACTTGGGGCAGAAAGCCATCGCTGACCTGGAGAAGGCATTCTAACCTTTCCGACTTAAGACCATGGTCTTGGATTTAGAGGAGCTGATTCTCATTCCTGCTGCTTCACACTCGGCTGCGAAACGCTCCAGTGAGAGCAGGAGATCACGGTCCGATGAAGCCAACAGGACCATGTCTTGTACAAATAGCAGAGACCTGATCCTTAGACCACCAAAACAGATCCCCACATCATCTTAGCTGCACCTAGAAATCCTGTCCATAAAAGTTATGAACAGAATCGGTGACAAAGGGCAGCCTTGGCGGAGTACAGCTAAATATGTTGGTCTCAACTCTGAGGCAAAGGTTACAAACTTCGCCAACATGCAGTCTATTTTCAGTAAAATGGTAAAAGTTATGTATTCATAAAGCACCTTCTAGGGTTCTATTACCCCTCCAAAGTGCTTTACAACACAATCAATTATTCATCCAAATACACACACATTCACAAACTGGTGGTTATGAGCTACACTGTGGCCACAGCTGTCCTGGGGTGCACTGACAGAAGCGAGGCTGCCAAAAGCCGGCCCCACCGGCCTCTCTGACCCCACCAGCAGACAATGAGGATGAAGTTGGACTCAACAATTGCGACAGACTCAAACCCGCAACCCTCCGGTTATCGGGTGGGCACTTAACTCATCTGCCACTGTCCTAAAACATTTCTTAAATAATTTTAATATTAAATAAATCAGTGTCTTTCATTGCAGTGTGACTATTTTAGCCGCCACTTCTATCGTTTTACTTTTTCATTCAATCACAATGTATCTGTAAAACCCCAAATACACATTATCTGAACCAAATTGATCAGTTTTAGTGAAGCTGAAGAAAAAAAGGGTTCCAACCAAGTTTTCAGCACCTAAACTATAGAAACATTTATTCATGTTGAAGTGACTCAAACACAAACCTTCCTCCTGTGTGGTTTTGGAAATAACTTTCTAATATTACCAGAAATGTGTTCTTAAGTCTAGATTTTGACGTCCAGCACTTCTTCACAGAGAAAGCCCACACTGTCATCACAGAAGGTTTGAGCAACAGTCTGGAATTTAGCAAGAACAATTTATTTTACAAGAAATTTGAACAACTTAAACTAATAAACAGACATTTGGAGAAAACGAACAAACACATTTGACTTAAAACCTCGGCCAAAAGGTTTATCAAGCTTTGGTTTGAATATCCTCGCCCTGAAGGGTTGTTTGGTGTTTTTATGATTTTACACTGAGGCCAGTAATGCACAAAAATAATTAAAACCAACAGAAAGAGGAGAGGTTGTTTTAGAGAACAGCTGTTTGAGATGGAATCTCCCAGGATGAGTTCTGATCCAGCTGCCGCTACAACGTGTACCATGTAAACCATGTGGTGAAGCTGTCAGTGGATATGAACTGGTCCTCATAAGCTTTTATCAATGAGTTTCTCATCTGCTGTCACGGTGGGAGCTTCCACATCCATACAGACATCACCTTCTCCAGTGGGATGGCAGCAAAACAATCAAACACATGCACTTTAACTCCAACATCTTCAGGGTTCAGACAAACTCAGAGCAACAAATAGAGAATGAGTGATAAATTCATCCTACCCCGCAAAGGCTGAAGTGTCACAAATCCACTTGGCTGATGGCAGCTTTATCACTTAAAACTTTTACAAGCGAAGATCCTGAAGGTCCCAAACTAGAGTGAATGCTGCTCCTCTGGAACAGATGTCTTCCTTCACCTCTCAGAGCTGGCTGCAAGTTCAAGTTCTCTTTGCACCCACTATTATCCAGGCATTAGGAAGAGGAGGAGCCCAAATGACCGATGGTACAACGCCCAGCCCAGGCAGATGGGGAGGGAGGGAGGAGGTGAAAGTGTGATATACAGTAGAGGAGAAATGGGGGAGGTAAAAATTGAGGGAAATGAAATGGGGAGGGTGAGTGAGAGAAGGCAGGGTGAGTCACAGGAGTGTTGCAATGAAAGTGAAAAAAGTATGAGACACTGTGACTACTGATTTGCTACGTCATATCAGAGGAAGGAAAGATGGTGTGGAAATAATAACTGATGTTAATATTTAATGTGACTTTTATTTTGTTAAAGGCAGCCCAACTGCAAGATACATAGGTCATCAACATCCCAGTCAGGTTACGCCCACCGAGAGGTGTGGAAATATTAGAAAATTCTAATTTGTTTTTAACCTTACTATTGGAATTTTTAACTGTTAATGTCCCATTAGCTTTCACACCCGTGGTGTGTGAAATTTGTTCTCTGCGTCTGACCCATCCTCTGAAGGAGCGGTGATCTGCAGCAGTGGTCATACTCGGGAACCATTTGGTGGTTTAACCCCACAATCAAACCCCTTAAGGTGACGATGTGTATTTTCCCTGGCAATAGGGGGCAGTACATACCTAAATCATTGCAAGCAAGCAGTATTCTTTGTTTAAGACCTTACCAACGGATGACCAATAGGGTCAAAAATCCTTGGAAGTGCAACCTCCAGCAAATTAACAAGCACATAAGACTTTTTCATCACCAACGAGTGAAAAGGTAAATGTGTAAAACAGTGTTTATGAATGATGAACGTTTTATAACCATTTGTTACAAACCAGTTCATGTGTTTTGTCCTCACAGGCTCCCATAGAAGGAAACATGTTGTCTAATATGGCGTCGCCCAGAGACTTAGACCAGCTCCATGTATTTTAGGCACGATTTTTATGGTAACATGTTATGAAGCCACCAACATTTTTCAGCAACTGGGCATCATTTAATTCATTTTTAACAACATCTTGATACATATTTCCAGATATTAATGGTAAAAACTACACATTGCCTCTTTAATATTGAGTGTCAAGGGGGGAGGCATTAAGTTATGACCCGACCATGGATTTCAACTCATAGTCTCCCAGTGTGGACACTCATACAACTAAGTCACCAAGCTGGTGGGTCTAGCTAGTAGGGCTTTAGTGTATTTTCTTTTAAATTAGCATTAGATATGTCTGGTGTTTCCTTAGTTCCTTTACAAAACTTAAACTGTTGGTTGCTGTACTTTTTTCTGCTTATTGTGGTTTCTGCTGTTGATATTATTCATCTTTTTTAGGCTAAATTTGTTGTAAATCACAACAAATGTAGCTAAACTGATTGATTAATGTTGACATTATTGAAGCAGACAGGAAGGATGGTTACCAAGAACCAATACCAACAACATCAGAAGCCAACCAAGGGCTGATTTCTCTGACAGACATTGGCTTTTTCTGATGTAAATATTTTTCACAAATCTGTTAACGCATTAGAGATTCTAAACGTGTTGCATTAAAACACCAAAAGGATCAAAACAATAAGAAGTCACAGTCTTGGTTAGGGAGGGATGATCGAAATGGTTTAAAACAACCTCAAATGTTTTTCACCACACTTCTCTTTGCCGTTACTGAGCTTTATTTATTGTTAAAATCTAAACACAAATAAATACTTGCTCCTGGATAAATTAAATACAGAGTAAAGTCAATTTAAAAAGAAGACATGGAGGTAGATGAGTCTGTGCTGATACAAGATGGTGTAATCCAACCAAATCACTTAATCTCAGACCCAAAGTGGTGTTGCGTTAACAGTTTAAATACTTTCAGACAACCACAGATTTCCTCATTTATGTTCTGGTAAATCATCTAATATTAATAATAATAACGTAACTTATAGGACATACAAGACATTTTATTGTGGCAAATAGAAAACACAACTAACACAGAGAAATCACATTCATGATGCACATTATTTGTTTCATTTAAATATTTTTCAAAATTCCTAAAAATTCAAACATGTTCTGTACTTAGAACAGCATGGTGTGTTCTTTCTTTAATTTAGCTTCATTTATGGTCACTTTTCTAGCCTGATATCATAATATTAGTGTCTCAGATTACTAACATTAAGTGTAAATAAGACCTCCTGAGTACTTGAATATAAATGCAGTCGTCTGGAAGTCAGAGGTCCTCAAACAGGTCCTCAGCTGCAGATGTTGCTGCTGCAGCATCTGTAGAGCGCTGGGGAGTCTGCAGCTGATTGGAGCCCATCCTGTGCAGCAGTGCGCGCACGCACGCGCGCACACACACGCACACACACACACACACACACACACACACACACACACACAGGTCAGTGGTCTAATGAAGTAGGTTTACAGGAGAGTTCTCCTGTTGAGACAGGAAGTTCATCATGTGGCACATCAGAAGAAAGACAAAAAACACATGGACAGCCTATGGAATCGTGTGAAAACATGAAGGGAGTGTGTGTGTGTGTGTTTCCACGTGGAAGTTCTCTTCCATCCTCAGCCATCAATCTTTTACATTTGCCTAAACAGTTCTAAAAAATGGCCAACGGTGGCCAGCATCAGAATATGTAACTCACCCAAAGATTACATTAAATTCAAAGTTTTTGAAGGGTAATATGGAATTTTAAAATAGTTTCTTACCTCCTATTGGAGTTGTTTATTATAGGGTTCTTGCCTTTGCCCATTTGTTATATGAGCTACAGCCATCTACACCCTGTTTGTTGTTGCTCAGTGTTTCTCTGGTTTGAATCATTTTCAGTGCTGGTTCTGGACCAGAATCCAATTGGGCACCAGTCCTTTCTGTTTTAGCTGACAAAAAATAAAAAAAAACTGGTGCTACATCAGCACCAAGTGTTTGGCAGTTTGGAGGAGGGGGAAAATAAGATGGGAGGCAGATATTTTAGTTATTAGGCTCCTCTCTTGTGGAACCAACTCCCAGCCTTAGACTGTGAGGCAGACACTTTGTCTACTTTTAAGACTAGGCTTAAAACATTTTTATTTGATAGGGCCTATAGTTAAAATCTGATGTTCGCCTAGATCTGGACAAGTGGGGGAGTAGAGGGAGGTGGAGTGTACAGTCGGTAAAGACGACTCTCCCTTGCCCTGCCTCCAACATGCCTCCATCTAAAAGGCTAGGTTGTCCAGAATTATCTCTGTAGTTATGCTGCTATAGGCTTAGACTGCTGGAGGACATACTGACCACTTTCCACACTCTACTACTTTATTCTACAATCTGCTCTTTAACTGTATTATTTCCTGCAATTTCAGCTGTTAACTTTATTTTTTCTCTAAGTATTTTTCTCCCCAGAAGAAGCTACAATGATGTTCTGCTGAGCTGTGGTGGCCTCATGGAGGCGGCCATCGGCTTGAACACTGCTGCTAACCACTTAAACATTCTCCCTCTCCTGATAATAACTTTTTACTTTCTTTGACATTGAATGTGCTACTACTAGTTTACCAGTTTACTTATAGATTCACTATAAATACAATAAAGTTTATCTCTCACCAAATAGAATATTTACTATGAAAGCACAATGTAACCATAGAAGCATTACTTGGTATATATGTTGTGTGTGTGTGTTTGTGTGTGTTGATGTTGGTGTGTGTTGATGCTGGTGTATCTTCTCGATCCCCAGTGAGTCGTGGTGGATGGCTGCTTACACTACGCCAGGATCCTCTGGCGGTTTCTTCCTGTTAAAAGGGAGTTTTCCTCTCCACTGTCGCTAAATGCTTGCTTAGTATGAGGATTGCGTAATGTTACGACTACCAGCCTGGCCAGTGAGATCCAGGAGCCAGGATCACCCAGCCCCGGTGATCAGCCTGACACCGCCCCTCCTCCTCCTCTTTTCCAGGCTGCTGAGGAGCACAGCTGATCTGAATCCTGCTGATGACCCACACCTGGATAAAAAGGCTGTGCCTTCAGCAGTCTGGGAGGCAGCAGTGCAGCAGTTCTGCTGTCCTCCAGGTCTCGTTTGGTTTAACCCCTCTCGTTGTGATGAGTTTTAAACTTTGGTAGTTTTAACTCTTCGTGATGAGTTTTTGGACGATCCAGTGGGATCTTGTGATGTTTGTCTTAAAGGTTAACTTGGTTTGATGCAGTTTTATTGACTCCGGTTTTAAACACCTTCTGTTTGGAAAAACTTAATATAAGTTTTTACCCAGTGTTTTTGTCAGTAGATTGTTTTCAGACTTTTATCAACTTCGGGATTTTAAAAACACCTTCTGTTCGGTAAAGCTTTTAATATAAGTTTTTACCCGGTGTTTTTATAGTTGGTAATTTGTGTGATGTTAACCTTTTTGAGAATTTTTGTTAGTTTTAGTTTTGCATTATCTTTATAATGCTCGCCATCTGTTTGCTCGTTATTAGAACCTTTTACTACAAATAAAACCATTTTAAACTCCACTGTCATATTTCTTATGTTACCCCCTCCTTCACATTTTAGCATCTCCTGTCAGGGAAGTAACACGTAATGTAATCTAGACAAAACACTTCAAAATAATTGAGACTGACCAATCACAGAGCATTTATTTAGAAAAAATGATGTATTATTTATACTTTTTATGTTTTTTTTTTGTAGTTTTTTCACGATGGAATGGCAGACTGCTTCATTGACAGACATTCAAGTTTGATGGGCCAATCATAGCACTCTGTCAGCCAAATGGGTGGGATGTACCTGCAAGTTAGCAAACCAAGATGGCCACTGCTCCGTTGTGGTTCAATCACAGCACTCTGTCAGTGGACGGGATGTTACTGATATAAAGATAGCGGTGGATCATTTGAAATGGCTTTGGCATCAACTTAGAACTATTTTTGACTTAGGGTTTTTTTTTTATTCATAGGGAGATGGAGGTACTTAAGTTTATTTTGAAAAGGACGTATTTGCATCTTTTTTGACACAGTAGGGCGGACCGCATCGTTGACTTGACATCTGTTGTGGTGAGTCCGTCTGGTTGTTTGGTATCCAATAGCATGCGGAGAAAGACTGTAGATCCCACCCCGCGCTTAGAGCAGAGACTAGAGAGAGAGCAGAGGACCGTCAATGGACTGTAGACGCTGCCCGACAATTTCTTTATTTTTTTATTGAATTTCTTTATTCATCTTTCGAGTGAAAAGTGAAAAACACACAAGTATTCCAATAAAATTATGAAAGTAACTGTATTCTAAATACCACGTTTAAAAATAGTAACTGTACCGGAATACAGTTACTCATAATTAGAATTCTAAATACGGAACGGCAATACTAGTATTCCGGTACTCCACAACACTGAAAGTGAAACACTGTTTATAATGTTATAAATCCAGCGGGGTGAAATCTGACAAAGACAGCAACTTGTTTACATCGATGAACAGCAGCAGGGAGAAGGTAAGCTAACATTCATAAGCTAGTTAACAGTGGTGGCTCGTCCATAGGGGGCGCTAGGGCGCCACCCCACCAGTTTCATAGGAAGTAGAAGATGACAGGAAATACAAAATATAAAATAAACATGAAAATTACATACAGACTATAAGTGCAGTGTTTAAACTGCATATAAGTGTTGTTTAAAAATGTTATTACACACTTTTACCATGACTGAATCGTTATGTGATGCATTTCCTGTTCCTTTTGGGTGCAGTAATATATAGCGTATAGACCTACGCTATAACTGGTGCATGCTCGCTGGATCCCCCTCCAATGCAAAGAATAGGAGAGTGTTTGGGCACCAGTGTTGGGAATAATGTGGTACAAATGTAATTAATTATTGTAATGCATTGCTTTTTGCTGTAATGTGGTAATGTAAGGCATTACAGGGAAAGAAAATGGTAATATTTACTCGGTACAATTGTCAGCAACACAGTAACTGCAATGCATTTTTAAACCCAGAATTAAGATGTGGGTTTCCTAAAAATTCTAATTGCGGGAAGCCTGAAAAAGAACCAGTATCCACATGTATGACGTCATTTATGGACTCAGCTTTGCGGGCATTCTATGAGCAGAGAGGACGCAGCGGTAACGGCTCAAATACTCCCGCTGTGTCCTGCGCGCGGCTGCTGTTATTTTCACAAAATCGCTCCACCAAAACAAAGTAATTCGTTTGCGATTGTTTATATCAGCCTATATTCTCTGGTACTTCATGTACTTTTCAGCTAAGTTTGTAATCTGTGCCCCGGTGAATTCAACTCATTGCTGCTGGAGCGCAGCGCAGATTAAGCTTTTTTTGTTTGCGTTCGGTAGATCCCTTTGGTTGATTAGTTAGAAAGTAGGAAATCTAGGAAACTGTTTTTCTGGAAGACGGAGAAAACATGCAGCATGCAGGAAGGTTAGAGAGAGAAAGGGCTGGGAATTATTCAAATAAAATCAAGAAAACAAGACAAAGTGCTTGAAAAGAAAAAAGTAGGTAGATTTATCCACAATACACATTTTTACCAGTGAAAAGCAATACTATGTAAGCATTTAATATTTATACATGTGATAGAATCAGATCACCCCAGAAGTCAGTCCCACATCCAGGGCCGTATCAAGGCATTTGGGGACCAAGGCAAATATAGGCTTGGAGCCCCCACCACCTCACTCTCTGCTCAGTTAATATAAGATGGCAGCGTGCTGAGAGTACAGATTGTTGTTGCTTTTATTTATTAAACAATAATTTTGAAGCACTGTTATTATATCTGACTGTTTTTAACAGCAATCCTAGCTCAGACACCACATCAACTTCCACATATATGTCATGAGCTCACTGAGCGTCAGATTACCAGATTCATATTGAAGTTGTTTTGGTGAAAGTAACTTAAAGTAATGCAAAAGTAGTGTAATGCCTTACATTTTAAAATCAGTAATATTGCAATGCAATGAATAACTTTAAAATGAAGGTAACAAGTAATAAATAATGCATTATAGTTTTGAAGTAACTTGCCCAACACTGCTGGGCACAGAGGTATTGCAACTGAAACCGGGTTAAACTGTTAAAATGCACCACACCCCCCCCACAAAAAATAATAATTCACCAGCCGATACTGCTACTTTATAAAGGTCTCATGCAAATACCGCTCTCTATCAGAGCTAAACATCGCAAAAAACAACAACAAAAATATTTCAGGCACTAAGCTTCTCGTTATTTAGTACTTGTGTCGCTCACTCTTTACATGCTTTTGCAAACCAGTATGGTTGACCCATATCATTAGGTGTCGTAGGTGCAAAGGGTCAATTCAAAGACATACATGCAACTAACATGGCCACCATGGCAGTAATGTGCATATGGTGGTAAT